CCCACCCCCAGTGTTAGTTTGTTCAGGAGGCCGACAATGAATAAGATATGAATGCTGGAAATATGCCCCACGCACTCGGCACCACTGGGTGGTGCCACTACAGCTCCATTCTGAAAGTGGCAAATGATAGTCCTAGGGCCCCTCTACCTTGCCCCAGTAATCATTAGATGAACACTTCAAGGATAAGGCGTATAATAGCTGGCCTTTTCCCGTTTCCCAATGTGCAATGATCAAAAACATCAAAGTTCAGGTTAGCTAACTGGACCCTTCCGGTCCCCAGGACCCTGCAGAAATCTGTCAAGGGATACCCCCTAGGGCCCCCTACCCACCCCCAGTTTTAGTTTGTTCAGGAGGCCGACAATGAATTAAATATGAATGCTGGAAATATGCCCCACGCACTTGGCACCACCAAGTGGTGCCACTACAGCCCCATTCTGAAAGTGGGAAATGATAGCCCTAGGGCCCCTCTACCTTGCCCCAGTAATCATTTGATGAACACTTCAAGGATAAGGCGTGTAATAGCTTATCTTTAATGGCGTTTTTGGGATAAAATGCAAAACAGCCAAAGTTCAGAGTAGATAACTGGCCCTTTTCGGTCCCTGGGACTTTTTGAAACGTTGACAAGGGATTTTCCCTAAGACTCTAAACTTAATCACCAATAATTGATGACAAATGATTGGTTGAAATATGACCCATACACTTGGCACCACCTGGTGGTACCAATAAAGCCCCTTCTGATAGCAGGAAATAATCATCCTTTAGCTAGTAATTTTGATCACTTTATAAATCATGGGTATTATACCTGCCCGTTATATAAAAAATGCTTTTGGAACCACTTGGTGGCACCACCACCACTTATTACTGATAGTAGTAATTTACAGTCTTATAGATTCATTAAGTTGTCCCAGTAATAATTTTCGAAATATACTTCAACCTAGTTTATACTTGTGCCATATTTCTGTTTACAATCGTTATATATTAATCAAATTAAAGGTTAGCTTATTGGCCCTGTCATTATCTTGAGGTCCCTGAAGGAGCTGAAAAGGGATTCTTTTTGAAGGCGTTAACCATTTCCTAGTGCTTGTTTGTTCAATTGGATAAAAATTATAAAGTAATTTATTTCTTATTTTTCGGTTTTAAAAAAGAAAAAAAATTGTTCAGGTGAGCCTTACTGCCTCTGAGTATCTGATTTATTATGTAATTAATTGTTGCATTAATTTTCTAATCATTAACCATTAATTATCTAAAATAACGTATTAAAAACAGTACTGTGTCTGAGTACTCTCAGTTCTTTGATGAATTTCCTTATTGGCTGCTAGCTTCTACGCGCTTAGTGGCTGCTGTTATTGGCTGCTAGCTTCAGCCTGGTGGCTACTTTCTGGGGTTTACAATAGATATTTATAAAGACATTCGTATCAGCTAATGTGACCAATATTCTTTAAGACCTTCATATTAATATTGTTCATGAATGCAAATACCTGATTTTTTTTTTTACGAAGGAGCGTACATGTATATTGATTTTGAATTTCTGGGGATTGCGTAATTCTAAAAAAAAAATCAATTAAATTTCAAAGGTTAAATAAACAAAGGATGCTTGGTATCAAAATATTGTTTCAAATCAGTAGAATTGAATGCTGTTAACGACATCCGAGTAAATACATGTAAACAAGGAAGGCTTATATACCAACTTTGTTCATCTGTACTTTAATTTCAAACACGACAGGATTTGTAATTAATTAAATTAATAATTTCTATATACTTTGGAAACTAACATCAAATATTTTAATACTCTTTCCTCGAGCTCTTTTCTGCAGTTTCCTTGAAATGTTATGTGGGTCCGAGGTGTAATTTGAGCTTTACAGCGATTCTCTACTTTGTGTGAGGGGGGGGGGGGGTCTTTCTACCCTTGGGTTAAGGTCAAAGGTTAAGGTCGATTTCAAGTTCATAGGTCAAGGTCATTTTGGTAAATAGCTAATATTAACATTTTATTCAGATTACTAGTGACCTTGACCTAAGTATCAAGGTCAAGGGTAAAAAGATCTGCTTCAGTATGTTACATGTTTTTACATTTATAAGTTCTTAATTCTGCATGAACATCAAAAGACTTAAGTATACTGTCGTTTAACGCATTGTGTGTGCGCGCATGTGCATGACGTCCTTGCATTTACTTTTGATGGTAGAATAATGTAGGCATTCATTATATCTATTCATATTCGAAATTTCACCCTTTATTATTGAGAACTAAGAAAGTTATAGGCATTTAAACTTTTAGCCAATCAGATTGCAGCTAACGTGCATGTGCTTGCGTTCATGATTATTCTTATATATCATGCTGTAGATCTTCATAATGTATCACTATTTTCAAAATTTTAAAGGATTTTGTCAGAAAACAAAAAAGATATAAAGACTTTTGTTTCAACCAATCGGAACGAAGCGCACGTTCATGCGCGTGAGATCTTGCTGTTTTGACCATGTCATCATGTCTATACTACTATTATATCCTTATATTATGAGTTTCAAAGCATTTCATCAAAAATTTAAAAGGTTACGGCTATATCTATCATTTTGGTCATTTCACGCGTTACACGTGCGCGCACATGCACGCACGTGCGCGCAAAATGACCTTCGTTCCGCACATCTACATAACATACCTAGTGACCCTAAAAAGGTTTCACCTAGATCGGATGAGTAGTTTACGAGAACACTCGCGGACAAAAAAAGTACCGGAGAAGAAAATTCAGAAAAAAAGTAAAAACAATATGTTCCCAAACTTCGTTTGGGGAACATAATAATAATAAGAAACAGAGTAAAAACAATATGTTCCCCAACTTCGTTTGGGGAACATAATAAATGCAAGCAAAATAAAAAAAAAATCTTACCTTTTCCTAAGTTGTCAAAATGTGCATGGTAATAATTAACTGCTTTACTTTTTATCACTGCCTTATAAAGGCCAACTATCTACTTTCGGTTTGGTTTTATTTACAAATGGCGTCTCGGTCTGGGGATCCAGAGACGTACGTAGTAGACTATTATATGTCTCTGAGCAAACCTAACGTATATGTACCTTCTCGGGAGAGCATTGTAACTTTATAGAATACACAGTTTTAAATGGTAATGTAAATTAGATGTATTTTTATTAATTCGATTCATATTTATAATCTATTTTAAAGTTGGTGTAAGACACATTTATAAGCAAGCTGCATGTATAATAATGAATTAATGACACATAAATACACTTGCTAAATAAGTGTATCAAATGTGTCCGTAAAAATTGTACTTATTGATAAATAAACGTGTATAGACACTTCTATTTGATTCAGGTTAACATGTCAATGAAAGGTAGAACGATAAAAGCCATCTTGAATGAAGCGAAAAAAGGGACCAGTGCTGATTCATCTCGAATAGGAAGAGCTGAAGCCATATTAACCCAGCTTAAGAAGGACGCTGACTGGCTGCAGGCAAACAATTCACCTCTTGTAAGTACTATTCAAGTCAGAGAATAAGACTGAGTGCACTTTTTCATAAATTTGATTTTTTTTATTTTGTCCTTCAGAAAATACCCAAATGAATACATATGATTTCAACATTATACACATCTATAAACAGAGAACAAAAATGTATTCTTTCTTTATTGTTTTTTTTACAGGACATATTGTTATATATTTCATGAATAAGAGCAACTGCTAAGTTTTAAGAGTGTTTCCAACTACATACCGCTCATGTAGTTTTAAAAATTGTTTTGAATATATATTTCAACAGTACACAAAAATCAAGAGTGATATAGATAGAAAGACTTCATATTCAAGGCCAGAGGTAACCAAAGACTCAGATGATCTGTGCAGATTTTTGGCAACTCAAAAAAGTGCAGACAGTAACGTATGGAAAAATTATGTCTTCTTATTGGAATGTCGAAATCATAAAAGAGAATCGTCTGCTACCAAGGTAAGGTTATTTTGTCCAAAGGTGTTAATTGAATTGAAATTTTTAAATTCTCTTTGCTTTTATATATGATTAATCATTGAATTGTTTATTATTTCATGGAGCATTTCCGTTTACCCCTGCACTGTTTCTTTGAAAAAATATTATGCTTTTTGGATTCAGTAAAGGTATAAAGTATGATAATTCAAAATTTATACATTAGAACCAAGATGACCATTGATAGAGAAAAAGCATGAATTACTTAATTTCCTCATATAATAACTAAAAATCTATCATTAAAAGCAAATATTGTAAATATATAGAATAACAAAACTGTTATGAAGTCTGGAAATCAAAGAAAACCATCAACAAACGCTGGTAAGGTATGTATTTTTTTCTTTTGAAATATATTACCTTGATATTTTATGTCTTGTTTTCGAATGCATGAAATTGAGTTCCATTTATTCCCTGGCAAATTAAAAATTCTTTCGTGAATTTTTTTCAAGGTCTCTCTGTGTGTCTAAGGGTGTGTGGGTGTGGGTGGGTTTTTTTTTTTTGGGGGGGGGGGGGGGTTGTTTTTTTATTTTTTTTAGTTTGCTTTCTTCCAAATTAGTATTCTTTACAGGATTTAATTAAGATTGAACAATACTTTTTTTCTTTGCATTTTACATTTAATTTATTTAATAATTGCAATCTTCTGCTACATTCGCTACACTGTACATGTGCATTGAAAAAAAACGAAATCAATCATTTACAGCTATCAACGACAAGCCCCATCCAAGGACAATCAAGAATATCCAGTTTCCAATCACCAAATACGGTATATAAAATTAAAAATGGAACACATTGTGACTGGTTATCTGCAAACCTATTTTGATTAAAAATAGATTTGACTCCACATACAAGTACCCACATACAAGTACTCAGAATGTGGTGTAAAAGATCCGTCGAGTTTTTCATTAATAATTTCTATATAATGTATAGACACTATATCTTCCAAAAATATGTTACGGTTTTTGTAGTATAGTGGTAGTGCATTTGCTTCGTAATCAAAACGCCTGGGTTCAATTCCAGGTACGTCAAACGTATGACGTAAGCATAGGTACTTAAAACTGTTCCTTCCCAAGCACCCGCCATAAGATGTAAAAGTCAATAGCCTTTGGTTATGAGATTGAAATGGTACATGTATGTTGTTTTACGTTCCATTCGAGAATATTTCACTCACATAGAGACGTCACCATATACCGATAAAGGGCTTCAAATTTTGACCCTTACTCGGCACTTACTGCCATGAAGACTGTGAGTGATCTTTATCATGCCAACACCCACCCTGACAACAGTCACGGTAAGTCAGTTTGAAAAAACCCTCGCTCCGTATTCGGAATGTTTTGATATGGAATCTCGGCTGTGAATGACCAATGACGATAAATAATGAGTTGCAACTGTTCCTTCGCCATGTGCTCGGCATGTTGAAGTGATAGTTGCTGGTTCTTCGGATTAGACCTTAAAAACTGAGTCCCCATGTCACGGTAGACGTTGGCACGATAAAGATCTCTCACTGCTCAATGGCCGTGTACATGTAAGTGCTAAGTAGAGGTCAAAACTTGGAATCCCTTCACCGGTATTTGGTGATGTCTGTATGTGAATTAAATATTCTCGAATGAGGCGTAAAACAACATACAATCTCAATTTCATAACTTTTACATCTTATTTCGGGTGCTTGGGAAGAAACATTCAATACCTATGCTTACGTCTTATGTTTGACACGGTGCAGTTAACTAGAATCGAACCCAGGCATCTTGATCACGAAACGAACGCCTTACCACTACCTACCGTAACATTTTTGGAAGACATTTATTACAATTAAATTTGTTGAGAATTTCCATTTAGAGACAAAGCCCTAGCCAAAGTTATGCTTATAATAAGGGATCAAGACAAAATGTTAGGAGTCAGACAATCGAGAATGGTGAGGTACAACAACAAAAACCACCGTCCACCAATGAGATCCTAAACAACAAATTAATGGAAGAAAATGAAAAGCTAAAGGAATCTGTAAACCAACAAAAGCAACAAATTGAGGAACTGACAACAAGGTATTAAACATCCTTCAAAGATTTAGGGAAAAGTTAAAAGGACATATTATTTCTTATGATTTTTAAACTTATATTGTATTTGGTTGTTAAGATACTCTTTTATTTGGCTTTTAAATGGCATTATTTTTCTGCAGATTGAGCAGATATGCCAGTCAGCAATTAACGCAAGGAAACCCAAATATAGCTGACCTAAGTGATAAGAATAGGCCAACTAAAATTGGAGAAAAGTTTGCCTTAGTGTATGATGACCAATGGTCAGAAGCCTTTGAAGCATTAAAAGTAGGAGGAAAGACAGAAGAGACTGTAGTCACAGAGCTAGCTAATTTAGTCCGGGTACGATTACTTTCTAATACTTATTTGCTCGCAGCAGTGCTAAAATGAGAAGCACACGATGATTGAGAAAATGAAAGTTACAAGAAATATTCAATTCTTGTGTTGTGATCTTTGTGTGAGAGATTCAGGCACTCGGGGATCATTATGGCCATTGTTCACTTATTGTCTTTGTAGGAAGAAATTTATTTTCACAAGAACTATAAGACTATATATCTCTTACAACCAAATAGTCACATATCTAAAAGTTCGAATAAAATAATTTTTAATGGTCTAGAAAGAATCTAGTGGAACGTGATGCTTTTAAATGTAACATCCATTCTAAACATAATTTCTAGTTCCGGTATTATTCTGGGTACTGGATAATCTCTTTTTTGGACATGCATTTGCTTACGCGGATAGGCAAAATAATAACCACTTCTCTCAAGAAAAGAGGTGTTGGATACCACAGGTGACACACACACTTACTTATTATTTTTGCATTTTGTTTTTTAGGAACAATTTTGAACTGGATGTGGAATACAGAATAAAATACTTCTTAATATTGTAGGAATGCTACAAATTTTCTGATGAGACTAAAGATAAAATGAGAAACGAGTTGATGAAAAGAACAGCCGAGGTGATCAGAAACCCGTTGCAAGTAGGTCCTATGTATAGCTTTTAAAGTAACTTAAATTAATTAAAAAATATTATTCTAAAAGTACATGTATATGTATAATACAGATAAATATCTTTTTTTTGCTAAACTAAAGTTGCGTCTACGGTATGTAAAATTTGGTTTTAACCTTTCAGTCATCACTGTCGATTACAGAAGAACCGAAAGATGTCCAATTAACAGGGTCAAATGCTATTTTTAATGACCTTTTGAAAAAAAATGGAGAACAGTCAGTCAAATGCCTTAAAATGGTAAATATACTGGATACATTGTATACATGCATGCGTGTCTTTTAGTAGATAAAACAATTTTGTTTACAAATAATAGAACTCAGTAAAACAGATAACATAAGCAATTATATTTTTAACATATATTTTTTACAAACTTTCCCTATATTTTCTTTTTTCCCACCAATTCCAAGCGTTTTTGATAAAATGAACAAATTAAGGCTTACAAAGCTCGACTTTTACTTACTTATCTAGGCGTTCAGAAAACAAAAGGAGAGCTACACACGTGATAAAAGACTTACTGATTATCTGGACATTCTGGTAGAACTCACGTGGAACATGGTCCTACAGGATCCGCCGATGGCCCTAAATTTTGCAAAAAACGGAGACAAGATCGACGAGAAATCATTCAAACACTATAGCAAGAAAGGCAATGTTGTGCTCCTTTGTGTATGGCCGGCTTTACATCTGTATAATGGTGGACCAATTGTGTCAAAAGGCTTTACTCTTCCTCAGTAATAGGCTACCAGTAATACAATGTGTACAAACTTCGTGAAGTACATGTAAAAACTGGACCATATTTCCCCCTCCTTTCATACTGATATGAATTCAATTCGTTTTGGCTTTTTGATGCCAGAGAAAAATCATATTTTCTGATTGTTTTTTTTGTTGTTGTTGTCATTATAAGTACTTTAAAAGCAAATAATTAATATGTGCGTACAAGTATTTAACATTTTTAAGTACAAATATCTGAAAATCAACAAGGATATTGATTATTTTTTTTTATATTTTCATATTATTTTATTTGCAAGTCAAATATTTCAAGGAGATATTTCCGTCCGAGTGATTCATCTCTTGACTCCAGAATGTGTTCAATCCAACAGAATTTGAATTGTACTCAGTGTGATTTTTTAAAGTGCAAGAATAGTTTAAACTTTACATATTAAGTTTTCGTCAGTAAATATATTATTGTTCGTTGTATCGTGTTTGTTTTAACCACTCCTTTATTATAAATAAATTAATTTTACTGCATTGTTCTTGTAATTACAATGTTTTAGTAATCTATGAAAGTTATATTTAATTCTTTAAGATGTAGAAAAAAATAAAGTGTGTAATACTGAAGGCAATTTCACTGGTTATACTAGTATCTTTATATATGTAATCTTTTTAAATACAAAAATGCTCATTTATAAGTTTTTTTAATACAAAAATGCAAATTTAAATTTGATTAATATTTTGATTCGACGTCTGCCTGTCTTTGAACAGATATCTGTTATTAGTTTCCCTCCTTATTTTCCTCAAATGGTGTGGCAAAGTCACCCAATACGGCGTATATTTTCCTGAAGCAATCTGATCTATTTTCAAATTTTCTAGGGATATCAGAAAGCAGTTTTCGTATTGATTGAAAGAAGACAAAATGGATAGTCTGTAAACGTGTACACTTGCTTATTTGAAAACCATTTAAAGATTTGAATAGTAGCTGGTTGTGATATATTGAAATGATATAGAAGCTTCGTTATTTGTTTGTTGAATGTGATTTTAATTTTGTTTTAGAACTTCTCCTTTAAGTGGCATATAACTCAGTGAGGATTATTCTGTACAAAATGAAGTGACACTTTACTGTAAACCAGTTGATAAATCTATTTTGAACTCATTATAATCAAAATGTCTGTTCAGTAACAATTTAAACGCCATTGTGATATCAACTTGTGTACTTTACTTTATCCTTAATGTTATCTCTAGAGATAACGCGATACAATATAATATGAAAGTACGATAATAATTTAACATGGCGGGTAGAGAACAGGTAAGTATATATATATGGGTGAGATTGTTTTTTTGTTTATTTTAAATCACATAATACCTATTATGAATATGCATCCATTTAAATCATATAATACTTAGTTTGCGTAAAAGATTAATTTCTAAAACATTTATCAAATAATTGTAATCAAGTGGTATCAAGAAACAGTATAACGAATAATCGACTCGAGATTTTTGATCATGGGTACAACATTAAATTTTATAATCCTTTATTATAATTTTCTCAATATTATTTGGTATACTAGTATTGAAAAAATCGACTCGATTTTTTTTTATTTCTTGATGAAAGTGGTCTGTCCAGACAATTGCTGAGGTTTTCAAGAGATTTGGGAAACATATCGACGCGGAGCACCATAACAAAGCGTATAAAAAGTACAAAATACTTTGTGATCATGCGAATTACCTGGCAAAGAGAGATTTTGAAACGGTAATTAAAGAAATTATATGATATTATAATATTATAATATATGGTATGAAATTATGATATTATTGCACTGTTTTTTATCATTTATTTTGAAAAAATAGTATTAAAGTGTATGTAGAGTAAATTTCATATAATGGTATATGCAATTTAGATTCTTGTTTAAAAATATTTTCATGACAGCATGAGTATCTCAAATCCTTTTACGAAGAAAATGACGAAAATTACCCAGCATGCCTCAGTGATGATCAAAAGCAAGCATGCCTTCCTTTATATGACTTCTTGTGTAGTGCAGGGACAATGTTCGATTTGACCAAAGTTTGGCCGACCTATGTTTTTCTAGTGGAAGTGTATAATAAACAAAAAAAATCTTCAAAAACATCGGTATGGCGAAAGGAAATCATAACATATTTCTGTTAATTTATTTTTTTTTCAATCTCCAATACGAGAAAAAAAGATTGATAACTTCATTTCTTTATTTTTTTTTCCTCAAGGATCCTCATATTAAACAAGCAGACAATTTTATTCCCCATGTTTTGCAAAATATGAAATCTTGTATGGATTCAGAAACATGGAAAGCTGCAGAAGCCGAGTACTTAGATCTCCTTCAGAGACAAGAACAAATGAGACGTGATCCAGATTTGGTAAGCCTAATCATGATATCATGTAATCAAGTTATGATAATTCTTAATAATTGAGGTCGATACAAAAGTTTTTTCTACTGTGTGCCACTCTTTCAGCAATTTACAACTGCATAATGACTTTAGACATGAATGTGACTGTTAACATTTATTAAGAACTTAATTGTCAATTTAGACATTTGAATCGGATAAACAAAAAAAAATGAAAAGAAATTGTTGTTTCAATACGTGTTTTAGGCAAGAGAGAAAGAGCTTTGGGTTTTAAATGGTGATGTAGCTGCTCAGAAATTTCTTGATAATATTGAATACATGGATAGGGCTCTGTATGTAACAATAAAGGAAGCAGTGCAGAGGAATTTACAGGGAAGTCAGGCTACCTGGTGCCAGTATGGGTCTCTTCTCCATTCATCGGAGCTCCTTAGCCGGAGTGAAGAACAAAAGGTAAGCATCTTAATGACATTGTTTCTATTCTCTGTTTATTAAGAGATTTATTTGCTTTGTTCTGAAGTCAGCGAGAGTGTGCATGGTTCAATGAAATCAAGTTATATTTTCCGCTACAGAGCCGACGATATGAAAATGAAATGGATGAGTTACGCGAGAAATGTGAACAGCTGAGAATGCAAAATGAATTAAAATCAAAAGAAATCGAGGAGCTTTCAACGAGGTTATCTCAATTTATACGTATATATGTAGCTTTAAGATCATACAATAATAGTCAATATATAGATTCAGAATATAGACTGAAAAAAAATAATCATACATAGTATAAATCCCCGTATGTCCATTTAGGCTAAGCCAAGTTGCCAGTCAGAGAGTGGCAACAGGTAATCCCAATCATACTGACCTCAGTGATTCCAATCGCCCCACTAAAATTGGGGAAAGATTTTCTGAGTTATATGACAACGAATGGACCCAGTTATTTGAAAGTTTACAGTCGGAGCTAGAAGATGAAAAGGAAAGAATAACAAAACTGTGTAACTGTATTCAAGTGGGTACCATTAGTCTGTCTCAGTTCTTATGTGTTTTTGCGTGTTTGTTTTTTGCAAGTTATTTTTCATGTAGCATATATTTTAGGATGTTGTTTCATGAAGATAACTTTTCTTTTGCTAGATGGCATACCGCTTTTGTAAAGAGAAAAGCGTAAAACAGCTTGAAGACTTACAAACATGGACAACAAAGATTATGTCATATTGCCAAGACCAGAGAGATGTATGTACGTTCAATGATTCAACAAAACATCTTAGAGTAAAAAGATTAAAGTCGTTTTTAAGAATTACAACATATTGTACCATTATAATGATATGTACGTTTTGAAGGAGACCAGCGAACACAGAGATGTCATTGAAATGAAGAAAGATGCTGTTTATCACTTGTTAGAACTAAGGAAGCAGTTTTGTTCAATGTCTCTTCCTAGTATTTACCAGGTAAATTCAATCGATTTTATACTGATAACTAGAGGCGGTGGAAGAGAACTTACAGCATACACTGTAACAAGACTGTTACCTCTCCATTTCTGTTTTGCAGATGTTTAAGGAATCCTATACATTTTTAGAAACAACCGACAATGCCATTTCAAAAGACATTGAAGCATATCTGAAAGCTTGCGTAGAAATATGTTGGTTTATGTGTGTGCAGGACCCACCAATGGTTCTGATTATTCCAGAAAAAGGAGAAACCATAGATACAAAATTGTTTAAGGTGTACAAGACTTCTGGAGACACAGTTGACACATGTGTGTGGCCTGCACTTCAAATAAATGAAAATGGAAGTGTTGTGTGCAAAGGCCATGTTTTACCCCAAAAGTAAAAGAAATAAGTCAACTGTGAATTCTTCTATTGAAATATACCAAAAAGATTAAATTATTCGAAAAATTTTATATACATTGTATACTTTTGTGTAATATTGTGTATATTGTTTACTGATAGAGCGACGTAACTTAAATGAATTAAATGATATTATAATCTTTATTTATTTATTTTTTTTGACAATTTCCTTTACATGTAACATTCAGTTTTCCAATAGGGCATTACGATTACGTCTTTTTGATGTATATAACCCTCAATCATACCAATATACGCGAATTTTAGTGAGCAGGCAGACTCGCGTAATTATACGCAGTAATAAATTTGTCGCGAAAAAATTTACAGTACTTAATGGAATTACATGTAGTACAGATGTCCAATAAAGATTGATAAAGAGAGTCCATTCAAAGCGGGGTTTAGAATGATCAATTATGTGATCATTGTTCTTTTAAAACTTAGCGATTTGTATGTTTAATAACTTTTTTTTAAAGAGAGCAAAATAAATTTATTTGTTGTTCAAAGTCCCTCGCGAGAAATTGTATGGAACTAAGAAAATAGACGTGTATTTGTAATAGGTACTCCGGTCTCCTCAAATGTAATTTTCATATTTTTCCTCCCCGCTCCTTTCTTCCATCTCATGCGAATCATATTATATTTCCTCTTTTCAAACTTAACACTTAAAACATACAAAAATACTATTAAATTTGATGTGTTTTTTTTTATTTACATATACCAATGTATCCTGAGAAATGGACTGCATTACACATTGTTACATTCATCTTCTCTCTTATTTATCAATAATCAGGCTAAGAGTTATCGTTATTTAAAATACTTAGGAACGACAAATCTGAAGTCAAACAACATTTGGAAAATTCGTTTGTTTCAGATGCAAAAGTGAGAGAAAAAATCAAAAGATCATTTAACACAATTAAAAGTAAGTATTGCTGTTCAAACAATCGGCAATATTATTCTAAATTTGGTGCACTTATGCAAATGAAACACTGATATTATTCTATTTACCCTTCTACTTTCAGTTTGATCAAACACATTTTAAATTTTTATTGAATTTTCATTCAATGAATTTCTTCGTCATATTTTACTTAAAACCTAAGAGTCATCAATATAATTATCTAGAATTGAAAAAAAGATGGTAAAACGTCTTTTTTAAAACCATGCTTTTAAAGTGTAATATTCTGGTATAAAAAGCTTATTTATGCAATGTAATGCTATACAGGTACCTATTTAAATAACCCCTCTTTGAAACATGTACGTACTTGTATGTGCGACGATGAGTGTGTAAAAACTTGTGTATTTATGTATTTACTACAAAAGATATTCTGCGATTTTTAAGAAAAATCATCTTGATTTAAACTGTAATTAGATTTCCTTTTTTCTTTATAAACATCACACTTATTTCAGATTATTTATAGATACATTGTACATTTAAATGTAGAGAAGGTCTACACTGTTAAAATTTCAACTTTATATGGTCCCTGATTTGCTCTTCCGATAAAATGGTTTTATAAGACGTACATGTATTCTTTTTCTATAATTGTGAATCAACTTGACATGTCTAAATATGTCTGCAAGTGAAGGCAAAAGAACAAAGGCGAAGGTTAGTATAGTTTGCCTGAGTTAAAACATTTTTTTTGGTTCACGATATTTTAATCTCGATCTTGACTGAGTTACAGGATGGAAATAAGAATATAGTCTTATCAAACGAGATTTGTTGATGATATCAAACACTTCCTGCTTCAGTTTTGCAATTTTATGTACTGATGTATATTACCTCCACTTTCACTTTGAAACCTTCAATTTTCACTTGAAAAAAATTATATTTAAAGCACAGGGTTGAATCGTTATCCATTAACATCATTTTGAGTCATGCCTTTGTGTTTTCGGCTTTTGAATAGTATTGGTTTAATTTCAGGCCAAAACTATCAGTAGAGCACTGGAATTCTGCAGTGGATGTGTAAGTGCAACTACTCTAAAAGAAGCCAGGAACCACTATTCCTTCCTCTCTGATTTAGCCAAAAATTTAAGAATATCTGTTAAAGAACAAGTAAGTACATTATATATTGAAAGATATAAATTGTGTGTGTATGTACATATGTATTAAACTGTGCACGATACCGTTCCAGAGATGCATTATGATATGTATTTTAACTTTTCAGTTGAAGATACAAACAAAAGACACTAGATTCCGTTATTTGACAGATGATGATAAGAGGCTTGGTGGGGCATTGTTTGACACCCTCTATAAAGTAGGAGACAGGGTCGATCTTACGGATGTTTGGCCTAATTACCTTTTCCTCATTGAAGTTTATAAACGGCATCAAGGGATCTCTAGCACTGTATGTGAAATTCATCTTTTTTACCTTAATTTTAATATGCAGTGACTCTAGCTGCATGTCAAAGAAATCTTTCATAAGAAAGAAGATTGTTTTGATATGGAAGTCATTTCAAATTTGTCACGAACATAATTTTTTTAATCTGAACAGAGAGTTAGAGTAGAGGAGGTTATGGACTCGAGAGAAAGTAAAACTGCCATTATTGCAATCCTAGAGAAATGTGAATCGATGGGATATGACAAGAAGCAGATCAAAGAGGCTCGAAAACAGTACAGTTCTATAATGAGCAATCCGCTTAGCTCCTTTGCTTCGGAGGTAAAAGTATATATAAGTACCATGAGTGTTAATGTTGTCAAATACTCTAGAAAAAATAAACGTGTGGAATAGTTGTTTTCAATCTCCTTCCATATAGCTTCAGGCAATTCAAGAAAAGAATAAGAAAACAAAAATTGAACCTCAACATATACTGCCAGCATATATTAAGAAAGCACCGGATCTCTATCATATCATTAGTGATGCTTGGGGAAACAGACGTGATATTGCAGATGACGCAATCAAGGAATTTTTCTTCATAATGCAAACATATCATCGTTTAAAAGAGGTAATATAACGACATTTTATCGTTTCATAATGATTTTTTTTTCTTTTCACAAACATTTTTCTCACAACGATCTATTATATTACATATAAGAACATTCACAAAAGTTTGGCAATTTACATCTTGAAAAACAAAGAATTGCGTCAAAATGGAAGTGCTAATGACAATTCAGGCATACCCTTAGATAAAGAATACCGGTAGGTTACATTTACATGTAAGGGTAAAATTAGGTTGAAGATATAAAATGTTAAATTTTATCAATGCATCATTCTGGCTTCTACGACGAAGAATGTCCTCACTCTTTCATTGTTCTTATGGGAAAATATGCAGATAACTATCCGTAAAAATTAAAGTTAAAAAAAACCCATTGAACGAAAATGTTTGTGTTGTGAAAACTTTTTCCTCGGTTCCTATTTAACAGTATTAAATGTTTTTATTCAACAGTTTTTTAATGAAGTAAATCTCTAACTGGTAGCTACGTCTGTTATAAAAGAGCTATTTTAACAAATAAGAAATACGAATTTTCTTTTCGAAATATGTATATGTGTATATCCTTTATATTAGGATCTTCCTAAGCCGACGACAAGTGATGAAACAAAAAGTTCACGTACAACGACTGCTAGTTCATCAGTATCGTCAACAAAACGTCTCTCAACAAACTGTATAGAGACTGTGTTAAAACGATGTTCAAAGAAGTATCAAACAGATCTTGTGACAAAAGCCGAAGAAGAATTTAAAAGACTAAAAAGAATAGACAAGGAGTGCAAAGATCGAAAGGATTTGGTAATACTTTTTTGTAATTAAAAAAAGATATATTTTTATCTAATAGTAACTACAATTCTTATAAATACTGTATATAATTTAACGAATCTCATATAAAATAGGCTTCCAACGAACTACATGTGCTTTACTAGTACTTAAATGATATGAAAACTTGCAGGATAAACGTAAAAATGAGTGGCACATGAAGGGTTCAGATGGACCTGCAGAATTGTTGCGATCTATTCCACAGCCAGAAAGACCGCTTCATAAACTTCTTCAACACGCAAAGGACGACAATACGATGGAGAGCGAACTAGCTCTATTAGAATACGCGTCTCTTCTTCACTCAGAAACTCTGTTTCAGGAAATGGAATGTCCAAAGGTAAAATACGCAATTTTAAGCCAACCCAAAAACAATGTTTGTTTGCCCATTCTCGACTTTGTCTGAATATATTAAGTGGTTAAAAAGGTTTTCAGTTAGCCTATTTTGCCAATCGGTCGGAAGAGGGCAACTAAACGATTTTTTAAAGATGGCCTTAATACGGATGTAGTACTTATCCTTTGCTGTTTTTTCTAATATGACAGTTACCGCAATACACTAATATCTTGCTCATCTCAATGATTCAGGCTAAGGGTAATGAAGCAGACTTACATGTGATCCTGAGTAGAATTTGAATCCCATGTAAAATGTGTATTAAAGATGAATGGGATATCTATACATGTGTACTAGTATCTGCAAATAACAGCACTTTGGTAGAGCAGTATATATGAACTGCTATATTCATTTTGGACTGTTTGACTTTTACAAATTTCCGGTACAAAATATAGTTCTTAAGTGTAAGATGAACAAGACGTGGTAATAGGTATACGCCATTATATTATTAGTTTCCCTATTTCCTATATCTGCACTGGGATAAATAAACCCTTCACAATTGTTATAAAAAATTGCTTTTTTCTTATAACTGCTGCATGTAGCAAATTTTTGTCTTGCATAGGTTTTTTTTTTACGTTTGATGTCTTTTTAATGTGTAGTTATTTTGTTTCACTTTGTAATGCATTTATCAGTGCTATTGACTTTGAATCTCTTTGGAATTTATTTTTTAATGCGTAGAGGCAAGTGGAAGTCATTTTGTTTCGTCCAAGTCTTTCAAATACAATGAAAGAGACGTTTTATAGGTAGATACTCCGTGAAGCGAAATACATTGAACCCTGAATAAATCTGAGGCTTATGAAGTGACTAGGAAATGACAACATTGAGAAGACTAGAATGGCGGACATTGATAACTCTCATTCTCGTCTTTTTACAAATTATGTTAAACTTTAAGACTAAAAACTTTCATGTTCCCAGGGCCTGATTTAGGTGGATTGGTGAACATGGTGTGGGAATGCCTATACAGCTCAACGCACTATTTAAGCTCACATGGTTTTTCGCACAAAGGTCACATTTTTCTTGTAATAAAACTTAAAATTATTGAGCTTCTGTACGAGACATCGACGCTATATTATTAAATATTTCAAGTTAAAGTTGCACATTCTCTAAAATCATTATATTAAGTTTTAAACCTCGATGTTTTAAAAGGGAATTTGTTTATAAACTGTATGGTGTTACATGCGTGTAAGATTCTATCATAGGTATTTACAAATTAATTAATCGGGCTTTCCTTGATACTATATGTAGTTGAAATGTTCAAATTGACTTCTTACAGATGAGTGTTTTTCTAAGTACTTTGCACATTTCCCATTCTTGTCTTGGTTTTGTCGAAATTCAGCGCCGAAAAATTACAAAACTGCATAAAGAAATCATATCAAAGTATAGGATAATAAAGTATTTTTTAATTTCCACACAGTAAATTTTACTATTGAAAAGAAAATTCTTTTATATTGATGGTCTTAAACTCTGAAATTTTGTGATGGAAGGTATCTTTCATGATGCTAGATTTCAGAAAGTTTACCTAAAACAAATCCATCCTTTTAACATGAAAAAAAAACAGTCGAAGAGATGAGAAATACTTCTATCATCTTGCGCCTTAGTGCCATATTAATGTACAAAAATATAGAAGTTACATAAACTGCAATGCTTCTCTATTAAGCCATGGCAAAGGTATGCTTTAAACTGAACGGATAAAAAGACGGTTGCATTTGACGAGAAATCATGAAAAAACCAACTGGGAACTGTCATGATCTATAATCCAAGAGCATATAAAAATCCAACCAATTATTAGGTGTGAATTATGTTTAAAGTAATGGAATAAGATCAAAATTAATTCAAAAATTACTTTAAAAATATATTTTGTCGCCTCGTTACATAATTTTGCATAAAAGCAATGTGACCTTAATTTGTGCGAAAAACCATGAGAGCTTAAAAGTGCGTTGAGCTGTATTTAGCTTAAGATATATACAGTATATCAGTAAATCTTCATTGCATTGTAAGGGCAATCCATATTTACCTATAGGTACATATATTTCCATTCATATCAAACATATAAGCATTGTATCAAGGAACGCAAAGTTAGGCTGTCAGAACATTCGTTTGGGGTGAGATTTTAACTTTCTTATAGATCTATTACATTTCTGAGGTAAGCTATGATAACATTGACATCTTTTTTTAAAATTCTGAATATGAATTTAAGAGCAGTAAATAGCGTTTTAACTTCCATTTGAAAAATCAAAAGGATGATGATAAGACTAAAATGAAATGAAATATCAAATAAAAAAATGAGAGAAATGTCTAAATAAAGAGTATTGATATATTGCTATATATATTGCTATATTTCTTTCTTTTTAGGCCATGAGTGAGCACGTAGCTAGAACAAGTACATCTCGATCTGTTAGCTGTCCATCAGAAAGAATTGGCATCGGTGATATATTGAAAAAAATGAAAAATATTGTTAACCCTGAGGTGTATAAAGAAGCAAGGGAGGAATATCAGAAGTTACAAGACATAGAAAAAATGATAGCACGGGATGACAGTTTGGTACAGTTTTATTGTTATTACGAGAAAGTACTGTAAATAAAATTCAATAAAAAATGAAAACTCGGTAAAACTTGAGGTTTAAAAAATGGTTGTTTGCAAGTGCAGCATTAAAATTTCATTTTCTTAGATAGATTAGAAAATAACAGTATTTTTATCTTTCATTAAAGAATATATATTATTTTTATATATTTATCCCTCAGAGAGTTAGAAAAGACAACTGGAAATTTCATGTACCTGATGGAGCTTCGGGATACATTAACGTGGAAATTCCTAATAGACCTCTTCACATCGTCTTAAATCGCGCACAGAAGGAAGGCGTTCAAGGAAGCAAGTTCGCTCTGATGGACTATGGATCCATGCTTCACTCAGAAGTTCTCTATGACAGTAAGGACAATATGCCCCAGGTATTATGACAAAAAGACAATAAATATTTATTCTGGGGTATGATCTTAATTTTGATAATTAAAAATACATGTATATTAATACCTTTTTGTTGATAACTGTTTACAGATGGTGCAAATGCCACAGGAAATAAAGGATACGAAAAATATTCAGACCGAGCATCGGGATCTTAAAAATATTAGAGAAAAAGAGTTTGTTAGTAGGGCTGCTGATGTAGGTCAAGGGCAAAGGGAATTGAATAGATCGCAAATCGATGACGAACGTATATTTATGTTACAACAAGAAGTCGACAAGCTGAAAGAGCAGCTCAATATAAAAAACACAGAAATTGAAGACTTAACAACAAGGTAGGCAAAGTTTTACAGATTATAAAACATCAAGTGAAACTTGTAAATGGTAGAGTAGTTTTTGCACATCCTACGATGTAAGTTAAATTTCAGATTGAGTCAAGCGGCGAGCAATAGTCTGATGTACAACAACCCAAGCATAGCTGATCTGAGTGATAAAAATCGTCCTACAAAATTAGGAGAACGCTTTGGACAGCTTTACGACAACGAATGGTCTGAAGCCTACGAAACTCTTAAGTTTTCAATACAGTCAGAAAATGCCGTATACTCTATTCTTGCTGATATTGTCCAGGTGCGTTAAATAGCCTTAAGTTTAATGTGTTTAAGGATGCCCGCTCTTCAGTTGGGAGCATAATATCATAACCTTAATTTATATAAAAATGATATCTCGAAATAAAGCTTGATTTTTTTTTCTGCAGCAGTTTTCATTGCATTCACCTAAAAACTATTTAAGGTCCCATAAAATCTTGGAAATTAAAAAAAAACTGCTCAAATGTAGATTTGAAAAAAAAAAAACTTTTTCCAAATACCAGGATACATGTTCAAGTGTATACTATACTATATTATTATAATATTGTTTTCCATTTTTAACTACTATAGTTGTTAAGCTGTTGAAGTATAACAACATGTGGAAAGTGTTGTTACACTTTGCATTTTATTATGAGTGTTTATATTTGATGGAGACAAGAACGCAAGTGTCAAAATTGTTGTAAAATTCCTGAACATTTAATAAAACGGTTGTTGACTTTTGAATTCGGTCTACTCGTGACTATACGAGTAGACCTCATCAAAAGTCAATAATTGTATAATGTACGTATAGCTTTTTTTAAATCCTGAAATATACTTGATTTTAAATTTCACAATAATTGTTTTAGGATATATTCCGATATTGCGAAAAGGCGTTAAAACAGCAGATAGCAGACATCAGACATGATCTGGAAAAAAGAACAAGGGAGCCACGGTTTCTGTACGAGGTCAAGGTAGAATGAAAAAGGATAAATGCTTTCTTTTTGTTTTCAATGAAATTATATTACACTGTATATTTGACCAAACAGCACCATTTAGAATAGCAAAAAGAAGAAATTTCTAGCAGTTTTACATAATACAAGCACAAAATTATATTTAATAATTTTTTTTCATATATTGTTAGTCATTCTCTGGGATTGGAAAAACGGATGAAATGTTGAGTTGGATGTGTGAAAAATATGCTACCGAGTTTCAGAAAGGAAATGCTGTGTATTCAGTGCAAGGTTTGATCAAGGTAAATGTGGAATGGCTGTCGCATAATGCAGCACATTTATAAATAGTGCACTGTCTACATTCGCAAGCGTCTGAGCGATCAAAATGAAAAACAATAAAGCTGAATTTTACACAGTTCACATTCGTGGACAATTTATTTATACAAGTGTATTCGATTAAGAATAACACACTACATGTAACCTGCCGAACGATCCTGCACATAGAGTTCAGGTTCATCGGACGAATCCGTATAAACCAAGGACATGTGAAATTTCACGCTCTTGATATTTTCTAAAGTGACAGTCCGTCTTAAAGTACTTTACTAGATGTACACATTATCACTTAATGTCTCAAAAACTGTTGAGAATAATACTCTAGTAATGTTTATGATTGATTTATAAATAAAATAACGATCACGATTTTTCTTTTCAGATTTATAAAGATTATTGTAAACATAGACAATTTTTAAGGACTTATCCTGGTATTATGGAGAAGATAGAGCCTTATGTGGACCTTACAGTTGAGTTGTGTTGGTTGATGTGTGCGCAGACCCCTCCGATGCAGCTCCTTTTTGTAACTAAGAACGACAAAGTTGATAAAACTTACTTCCGGTGTATGGGACACTCTGGAGATAAAGTTGATATTTGTATCTGGCCTGCAGTCTTACTCCATGACGGTGGCCCGGTTGTTATGAAGGGACAAGTATTACCTTTGTAAATCAAGATTTGCAGTAATTTAATTTATATTTTTTTTTTATTATTATTTTTAATGATTACCTTTCAGTATTTACTAATTTAATGAGATCCACTACCAAGTTGACTACTATATATAGTAATTTGCTTGTACATGTATATCTAGTTCCATGTGAAATAAATTGTTTTGTTTTTTTTTCTTTGATGTCGGAAATTTTGTTACAAAATTGTAAATAAGTATTTTAATGACAGGGGAAAAAAACGTTAACAAACTTCTGTTGTTCTTATTGCTATGGAAGTTCTTTATAGCTTTGTTTGCATCAAAATTACATGACAGTCGTCCTGTACAATAATATTTTTTTAATATAAAACTGTATACATTTTATTGAATATAGAAGTCTTTAGCCTGCCTTATTTTACTTTAATTGATCATAAAGGTTTAATTTACATACAAATTTATCATAATAACAAATCAAAATTATCAAAAATGCAGCTCAAATTGATATATCTATGGCACGCCAAATTCACAAAAATGAGCTAAACATAGTTTCACAGTCGATAAACTAGGTTTATCGGTTGTAAACTATAGTTTACGGACTGTAAACTATAGTTAACAAAGTTAATCTATATTTTACATCTGTAAACCATAGTTAACGCGATAATCTATGTTTCACAACCGTAAACTATACTTAACACCGAAAACAATCATTTGCGATTGCAAAACATAGATAGTCTGATAAATACAGTTTCACAATTTGTAAACTATAGTTTACAAACCGTTAACTATAGTTAACGATCTGATAATTATAGTTTCACGATTTGTGAAACAATGATTAACAACTTTTAACTATAGTTTACGATTGTAAATTATAGTTTCCAAACGTGAATCGGGTGTTTATCAACAAAATCTATTGTTAACGCTTTATTACAGACAGATAAACTTAGATTAGCATTCGTAAACTATAGTTAACGACCGTTAAATATAGTTTTACAGATGAAAACTATAGTTAATGAATTGTTAACTATAGTTCACGGTTTGTAAACTATAGTTTACAGTCGATAAACTTAGTTTATCAACTGTGAAATTATGTTTAGCTCATTTTTGTGAATTTGGCGTGCCATATATATCTGCCTGTAGAAAAGAAGGACCTTGACAAAGGCTTTTCCAGCCAGAGTATAAAGGTTACATTTGATAATGTATTGATTGTAGTATTTTTGTTACATTGTTGTGGAATTATAGTGCATGTGTACTGGGTATACATGTATTACCTTTTCTTGTCTAAATGATTCAAAGAAACGACCAGGATAATTTATTGGTAATTAAAATTTCACATATTAATACATGCATGTATTTCGTTTAATTTATGTTTTTTAACCAATTTTGCAACGAATTATTAACATAGATTCACTCAAATACATTTATTCTGTCAAACCAGAAAAAAAATCTAGAACAAAATATGTATCTAAAATAAATATTTTATCCCTATTCAGGAAAAATTCAAAACATCACAAGATTTGTGAATTAAGGTAGGATTTTTCTCATATTTCTTGTATTTAAAAATAAATGAAATTTTCACAGAATCAAGAAGACAATATCAGTAAGTGATATTATCAGTGAGATTAAATTTGACCGTTTTATATTAAAGGCAAGGTCAGGTCAAGGTCATTATCTTTTTCCTTGACATTATGAATAAAAAAATACTGTTGCCAATCATGTGATGCCTACTTCTATTTCAAAAGTTTAAAGATTGTTCTTTTTGCATAAAAAGATATTACTATATCGGGTCTATAGCATGATATTACCAAATTTACATAAATAATTTATGATATGATTTTCACATATAATAAAGTTGTCTTATAAATGTACAAAATGATACAAAAACAAAAAGTTTTGATCGTTTAATAAGAGAGAAAAAATACTTTTTATGGATTTTTGGCTCAAATCTGTACTTTGATTGGAAGCATTTAAAAGCTTACATAGTTCTAGTTTGTTTGATAAATCATATTCATTTGATATATTTTAAAAGTTTAGTCCCTTATTATTAAATTAACTAACATTTAAAAAATTCTTCAAATCTTTGATTGTGTAAAAATTATAACTAAATTCATTGTTCTATTATAATTTTGGGAGGCAGAAAAGAAGATATTTTCATACGCCATCATTCCGCCAAAAATATAGTCCCTGCTAGTTTTCAAACGCAGTTTACCATTTCTATTTAAAGTTGTACAATTCTGATGAGAAAATAAAAATAATGTCTTTTAAATCCCTTACACCTAGATATATAAGACATATAAGCAAATATACTTTGAATGTTTCATCTAGTCAGAAACCAGAGAAGAATCCTACCTTAAAAATCGGATACGGACCCTTTTCTACGTATATCTGACATACACTGTAAACTGTGCTTGTTGAACTTCATGATTTCAGTTTCCTTAAAATGAAATGCCCTGTCCGTCTCGTCTGTTTATCCATTTGTCAGCAAAAACTTTACTTTTCCCATAACTTTTGAGTGGGTTGGGTTATTGCTTTCATATTTCACATGTGTATTCCTTGTGACAAGACCTTTCTTAGGGTACCACCAAATTTGACCTCTTGACAATTACCTTGGACTGTGACCAACTTTTACCAAAAATTTCAAAACTGTAACTTTGGCCATAACTTTTGAACAGCTGGTGCTAGGACTTTTATACTTTACATGTGTATTCCTTGTGACAATACCTTACAACGGGTATAAAAAAATTACCTTTCGACCTTGACCTTAGAGTTTGACCCATTTTTAAGAAAACGTGACCATAATTTTTTGACCACAAGTACAGTAAGTCATATTCTACAGGTGTATATGCATTCCTTGTGACCCTTGTTCCTTCGGATACCGACAATTTTGATCTTAAAGTTGACTTGTACTTGAGAAACTTCAACTCTTGCCATAAATTGCTCTACGGGGGCACCAGTTTCACAAAGATATCTTTTTTATCCTATTTTCTGTTGGATTACCCCCTTTTCCAAAATTTATAGACGTACAGTATCCCATCATTGATTGCATTAAGACTTCACTTAAACCCATAAATGAGGGTTCCGTTTTAAAAAAGAACTTACAATAAAGACCAAAGTTAAATTCTGCTAAAAACATTTTTATTAATATTCCATAGAAAATGGCTTTATTCATTTTAAAAGCCAAGTAGAAAAATACTTTCACGCTGGCAATTTTTAGCAAAATCATTAATTTTGAAAAAAAAAATACAATATACTGAAGTTGTTGGTCTTAGTTGTAAGTTTTTTTTGTAAAACGGGCCCCCTGAACAGTTAAATAATGTAAGCATGAAAAAATTCAACTCATACGGTGGTATACAGTTAAATAATGTAAGCATGAAAAAATTCAACTCATGAGTAAAATGATTTTAATTTGTTTGGAAAACGAATTCAAAACGAGATCATCAAGATCTTTAAAAATTGATCAAAAAGATTATTTCGTTTTCAAAAGATTTATAAATCTACACAAAAAAGTCTCACAAGATATTATCTGCAAAGATATTATTTCGTTTTCAGCAAATATTATGACAAAGATAATATATGTTTTCAATATCACAAGCACAGGATTTCAGTTAAGTTACATAGTTTTCAGAATTAGAATCCAAGATGTTTTCACAAGATAATAAGTATTATTTTTTCACAAGATTTATCTCGGAAAAACCCAGCATCACAGATAATATCTCGTTTTCACAAGATATTATCTCGTTTTCACAAGATAATAAGTCGTTTTCACAAGATAATTCCAGTAATTATGTCGTTTTCACTCTTTATAATTTGCGTGTCCTACATGTAAAATAATTTTAATTTGTTTGCTTCCCTGAAAAAGTCATGCAACATAATATCACAACAAAATTTTACATAGTCCAGAATTAGAATCCATGTCATATTATTTTTATTGGAAAAACCCAGCATTAGCTTTGGCACGTTTCCAGTAACTCTTTATAATTACATGTATATCGTTGCTTTAAATCGACATTCAACAAAATAGGAACAAAAAAATCATTATTAAACTTGCATGTTTACAACATTGCTGTACGTTATGCTTCGCTGTGTACAGAGCTTCATAACCAGGAAGAATATTTTGAAGGTCTCGGATTCATAAAATGGCGACTCTCTCAATTTTCAGTTTCTTTCTATTGGTGTTTGTTTTGGGGAAAGCTGGTAAGTTCGTATGATATCTGTGTCTAATGGCTGTAGTTTTGTATCGATTTTATTAATATCCAATGCATAAGAAAATAATTTTAACCAAATGGTAATTTAAGTGTTATATTTTTGAAAATGAATTTTCTTTATGATTCTGTTTTTTCTTATTTGAAAAATCCGTAATCAGTATCTCTTTTCTCTCTGGTAGATGATTAATCCGTTGTTAGTGGCTGCTGAAACTATTAAAAATCTTCCAATTAGAATAACGAATTGATATTAATACACAATACTAGTAGTCTATTTAAGTCTGGTTATCTAAACTGTAATAATCATTTTTGAAGAAGAAGACGGGGATACTAAAAAATATTACAGTTTATTTTAGAAAATAAATGTCTTTAAAACTTATATGTTTTTTTTTTACAGTTTGGACATATGATTAAATTAAAAAAAAGAACAAGATTGACCGACATAACACATCTAATTTATAAAGAACTAAACCAAACGTTAAAAATCAACAGAAACCACAAAACATAATTATTTGAATACGTGTATATCAAATAAAAGAAAGAAGTTAAAGTGTGCATATAACAAACATATGAACCATATAGAATACAGTATACTGTAGTATATAGCAAACAAGACCGGGCATACCGTATGGAATGACATAACTATCGTTTATCTTGCATGTAGGGGGCAGAAATATGCCACTTTAATTACTAGATTAAAATTAAACATTTTCGATCCTGTACAATTTAAATTAGGCAGAATATACATTGCACCATATGTAAAATGAATAATTAGAGCTTTCCTTTCAGCTGGAGATCCATGTTCTACGTACAGTGTAATGTCGGGAGAGATTCGCCGATCTACGGCCTATACCTTGAAGCCTTCCGACACGGCCATCTGTGACAACTTCCTGACAGAGCAATGGTATCGGATAGACAGTCAGGCAGGGGATGAGATCGTCCGCTCCTGTCCCTCTATGACGCATTGTGGAACAATGTATCCCATGTGGATGAATGGTCTGTCATGATTTCTCTCCCTCCCCCTTTTTGTTAGGTCTGCCTGTCATTTTGTTGCGCGTTGGGATACCAATCTCTTATCCACTACTCCTCTTATATACCATTGAATGAAATTAATGAGACTTTCACAAAATCTTTGTTACATAGTGCCATTGTGCACCTTCTATTTTCCTTTTCGATCCAATTCATGTTTTTGGGTTTCCCATGTAGCAAAACACGGACAATGCCATCATACCAATCTCTTATCCGCAATTCGTCCCATTCCACTGAAAAAATGACATTTTCACAGATTCTTTATTACATAATGCCATTGTGACCTATTTTACTTTTTGATCTTAAACTTATCTTGGATATCCCAGAGCAAAACATGTACTTCTCCTTTATAATTATATGTGAGGCGGGGATATCATTTAGTGAGCGTGATCGCATTGCTCACATGTACAGTACCCCTAGTTTTCATAAATTTTTATTTTTATTCTCATCAACTTTGTACTTCTTTTCAAATAATTCACAACCTAGATTTCTTGGAACTAATATTGAACATTGTTGTGGAGAGCGCTCATGTAGGCTATGCCTGCTACCCAAACCACCCATGTTTTAGTTTGGTACATAAGAAAATATGTTCAAGGAAGGATATGGAGATAACGAACAGTATTCAATCTCAACGTCCATTAAACAATATACAAAATAAGAGCAGAGCAAACACGGACCTCTGAAACATCAGAGGTGGGATCAGGTGCCATGGAGGAGTGAGCATCCCCTGCCGACCGGTCACACCCGCCGTGTGCTCGTTGTCATGATCAGGAAATAACGGAAAAAATCCGTCGTCAATTCAGTGTATAAATAATGGACTAACAATTGGTATGAAAAACGTCAGTCAGCATTGACTCAATGATAAATTGTATTTGCTGACAAGGTTTTGTATCGACCATAGAATTTACGAAATGATGACTTTAAACGAGACTGTTGATATTCTTGTTTCATCAACTTGCTTGTCAATAATTTACCTCGTTTAAGAAATTGTTCATACGTAGAGCACGCTCTTGCGTATCGAATCAACTGAGATATATATACTCCGTATGCAGGTGATGAAGGTATATTGCTGCATAAGTAAGGGAAGTTGACGATAGAAAACTTAAAGTCATCACGTTTATCATATAGCTTGGTTGTTAGATTACCATTACCTTTTTCAAGTAAAATATCCAAGTCTGAAGCAGAAGTGTCTCTGTGGTATCTTTTATCTCAAGTTCACCAGGATATATCGTTCGACGTAGGAATGGAAATTATCATTATTAATTGACAATACGTGTCGATATATCTAAATGTCGAGTTGAAGGCCACAACAAGTGTTTTCTTCTTTTCACGCATAAGATTTTGTATAAATTCTGCTTCATATGAATATAAAAATAAGTCTGCTAATAACGGGGCGCAATTTGTACCCATGGGAATTCCAATAGATTTACAAATCAAAGCGAACTGTGTTTTACAGGGAACCTACCGTTGACATCTGACGGTGAAGTGGACAGGACCGTCTGTCAGAGTGGGATTACTGGATGCTGCGAATCCTCGCTGACCATTAAAGTCAAGAATTGTGGGACATATTATGTGTATTTTCTGAGAAAGCCTTCTGGATGTCCAATTTCATATTGTTTTGGTTCGTATTAATTGCAAAAAAAAGTAAAACGCAATTTTCCAACATCTCGTTATTTCAACCATATGTACAGTGCATTTATCAATATATGTATTCGTAATTTTTTTTTTCAATAGCTTTTGATATATCTTGGATATATAGTTTACTGTAAATTCAGTTGAAATTTATCGTTTTGAATTTACGCATTTGCTCACCTTTAGGTACACTGTATGTGAATGAAACTACAACAACCACGACAACCACGACAACAACAACAACGACAACAACCGCTCCTCCGACAACAGCAAGTCCGTCTACAACAACTGAATGTGACAAAGACGAGAGAGGGGGAAAAGGTGACCACTGATATATAGCAAAAAAATTCACTTGATGCTTTTATCCCTTATACTGTAGTTAACGTTTGAAAAAAATATGAAATGGTATTTAGAAAGGAACGATTATAATGAATCTTTATTTGTAAAAATATTAGATCACGATAACGATTATTCTTTACCTGTGTTCATCATAAATGTAGTATAAACACGTGTGTGATTACTTTTTAGAACACAGGCATGGTAAACACCACAGTAAACATGCGATGATGGCATCCGCTGCTCTTGCTTTAGTGGTATTTCTTATATTGCTAACACTGTTCATCTTCAAACTTTACAAGTGAGTTAATACGTCAAAGAGGTTTATTGTAAAATACTTTTACAAAACCTATTTACAAAATTTTATTTATACAAGAATCACTCTGTTTGTCTATCCGTTATATCTAGCTATATTTACATTTCTGATTGTTTTCTCTGTGATAACTCTTTGAAAGTATATGTAAGGTGAGTCGGTTTCTTGTTAATTAACCTGAATGTAAATTTCGCCAAGTGAAAGGTCAAGTGAAAGGTCAAGTGATATGCATGTCAAATTTTTAAATTTCGTCAATTTCTCAGTGGGTGTATTTTAAGCGTTTTTGCTGTTTCGCCAAATCATTTGCTTTTGTGTAAATTATCCTGCGTAATTTCCAACTGTCGTTGATGTCCCTGGCATACCCCCCCCCCAAAAAAAAATGCATTGATGCCTTCAGCATATGGGCAACACTTTTGATACGAAAGCCTTCGGAAGCTCCGTGTGCACTTATTTGCTTGTGATCTATTGCATGGGAGATTTATAATCTTTATCTCTATACCTCAGATCATTCGAGAATATTTCACCCAAAAAAAGAAAACGAGATTATCTTTTCACATGAACATAATGGTTGTTATTCGGAACACAATTGCCCCTCTATGTCATAACAGACTTGCATTTAAAATGACCGTGCGTACTAGTAGTTATGATTGGCATGTTGCAAATGTGGAAAAAAATCTTTATTGTGAACGTGAACTAAGGGTTATGCTCCATTGAAGAAAAGAATGAAGTGTGATTGATTAATATTTCATTTTTATCTTTCTTGAACTCACAGGAAATCTCCTGATGTGTAAAATTTAAATTGAATTATTCTTTCAAAACAACTTTGATTTTGTAACTAGACGGAAGAATCCAAAGACAAACGAAAAGGTGGAACCAATCGACGCCGTTGCACCCGTTGATGGTCCTGAGAAGACTCCACTCCCGGAACAATGGGTGGTGGTCGTACCGTCAGCCCCGCCTCTTCAGCTGCAAAGCTCCTTCATCAAGAAGACCCCGACGGAGGAGGTTTCTCAGCCGTGATCTTACTGGGAAGAACACAAATGTTGTTGTTTTTTAAACGTTATTTCGTTTTCTTGAGAGTTTTTTTTTTTGCTCTACGTATTAAATATAGTTCATCATGTGTCATTTTATTCAAAATGCTGTGCAGTCCTGGTAAAGTTCAGTATCTAATTTTGAAAAATCGAACTTTATATAAGTACAGTGTCAAGATACAAATATATACCGGTATTTCTGTTTATTACAGTAGATATTTACTTATTTGAACAAGGTTTCGCCTTTTACAGTGGAAGAAAAGAAATGTTTTTAGAAACCTGCTTGTTAATTCACGCCAGTTAAGTTATATATAGTTGCATTCAAAATTTTTATCTCCATTTTGAATTCATCTGTACATAGCTTTCCCATTTTTTTCATTTTAGCGAATTTTGATGAATAAACACATATTTTCTTTTGAGTTCCTAGAACGATGATCAGATGTGATCAGAAAATAAATTAATTCTTCATAGATCTTAATGTCCTTAGGTCACCCGAGTCACTTGGATGACCTATAATTGCTTTTTCAAACGTCGTCTTGCGGTTATGCATCGCGGTTGTAGACATTTTCGGCTTCATTGTTGGCATATTGCACCAATGGGTTAATAAGGGTGGAATTTTATTTTAATTCTATGGTCCCTATATCCAGGGCCTAGAGTTGGGACTAATACCATCAAACTTAGTGCTATTTTTAAAAACTCTTCTTTTGTACTTCTAGGCATCAGACAGTCAAACACATTGCATGAATATTATGCTTTGAGCCATCTTCCTAAACTGTAAAATTCATGGTCCTGGGTTCACGGGTTCTGGAATTGGGGCTCTAATGATTTTTAAGCAGATATACTACGAAGTGAAAAAAAATATAAATCGGTTGTTCTATATACCTTAAGATTTACTACTGGGGATAAACGAAACATTTTGTTGATTCCTGATCATCCTATTTCTCCTGGTTTTGGACAAAAATAAATAGGCATATCTTCATCTTTTAGTTTATTTTGTTTTATTATACTAATATCTGCATTTTATACAATGGTGTATTATGCACGGGTGACTTGGGTCTGTTAATTTTGCATTTTCATATCTTTTACTTTTTTAATGTTGATTATTTTCAGTGAAATCATTTACATGTTAGAATTGCTGTGATATTTTTAACACATTAGTTTGTGCATATTTATCGTGATGTTTCATGATGAATGGTCATATTGTTTAAATAAAATTAAATTGAAAATATGCTATTTGGTTTTATATTGATTGTATGTTGTTCAACGTCCCTTCAAGATTTTTTCACACATATGGAGACTTACCACAAATCTTGTCCTATGCTCGGTCTTTTTCGTGCCAGCACATGCGATACAGGACCTCGGTTTATACCGTCTCATCCGAATTAGGACCGGTCTCCACGTCCCCAAGTGGGATTCGAGCCCGCGACGAAGATCAAATCCATACTTCGCGACTTTAGAGCAGACGCTTTAACCACTGCGCCACGCGGGTGACATAATTTGAACAAATATTTTTTTTTAAGACATGGCAAGGACTTTTGGATTGACTGGTCTACTTTAATTTGTAAAATTACCGAGAACAAGTACATCGAATGATAATTTCTAGCTACTTGAATTGATGAACGGATATATTGACCCCGGGGAGGTGGGGGATCATTTATATACTAGTACATGTGTACATATTTTTTTTTAATTTTGAGTTACATGTATCCCTTTTCCAATTCACTTTATCGCCAATGACACCATACACACGGTTTGTTTTTCACTAGGCTATTATTTGCTTTAATATAGAGTAATATTAATATAAGTATCTATTGATATCATGTATAGTTTGATTGAATGTACACCGGGTATGGTCCTACGACGCGCGATCAAAAAAAAAGTTTTATTGAATATGTGCGAATATTTTAAATGAAAGAATTTAACATAAATTGAAAAACTTGGAAAGCCAAAGAAAATCACTTTATCGCTCTTCTACATTGACAATCAGAATTCTTAAAAAAAGAAATTATAAAAGGATTGGCAAAAAAAATACAATTTAACATCATTAGAAAATAATTTTATACATTTAAAAAAGATATTTTACGCGGTTTTGATTATGGTCTGCTGTGTTCCGTTTTTGTTTTTGTTTTTTTTGCGACTTTCAGATTCGATAGGATATCTTAGCTTTATGACAACTTACCGACAAATCTATTCTTACGATGCATGATTTTAGACTTACGTGCTTTAAATCTTAGAAATTAGGTGACGATAGAATGAGGATTAAAGAAAACTTTCACGCGTACACCTGTTAAGATAATCATATCAATGACAGTTGTCTGTCTTACGCAATTAATACATGTACCTTTTTATTAATTGAAGGATTATGTTAATATTACAATATATATTATACAATACTAAAATAGGGATTAACTCTTTTGTCCAACTGAGAGTATTTTGATTACAGTTCGCATTTATTTGCGTCATTAGCTTTTCATTCTTTATAGTAAATACAAGTAATTAATTTAATGCAAAAAAAAAAAAAAACAAACAAAAACAAACAAAGAAATAAATAAAATTAGAAAGGGGCTCGAAGAAGAAAGGGCTGAAGAAATTCCCGATGATCATTTACAAAATCTCCAGCTCAATTAGAAACATGTTAGAACACTTTAATCTGTTTACTGGATAATTGCAATCCAAAAGAATTATCAAAATATATTGTTGAATGGAAAATCATTGATTCTTCATAATCTTAACACAGATTTAAACAAATAACCTAATTAAGGGTAGAACTTCATTTCATGTCATGCAAGTATGACGTGCAAAGAAAGAAATTAATATTGAAATATTTTTTTAAAAATGATTTTGTACTCTGATCGGTCAACAGACACAGTCAGACATGAAATGTTGGTACTCGGATGTACCTTTGATTGAATCCGGCCTACATAAAATTTTTCTTACCATAAAAGAAAATTGAATTCTGTATTGAGAAATATTGATTTTTCACGTGTTGATAATAGGCTTTTTGAGTACATCAACGTTTATGAGATATCGCTTTCTACACGGATTTCTTCCCTCTCTGACGCAGAATGTTTGGACATCAGCTTTCTAATTATTTCGTCTTAATCAGACGTTTTAATTAACATTACAGAAAAACGCAGAGGGGTTGCATAACTAAAGGAGTCTGCCAGGTTTTCAAAATGTTGACAAATTTTTCCGGAAAATTGACAGAGAATGTTTCGACAGCAGAACCCATCATACTGGATCATAGTGTGATCCCAGTGGGAATTATCATCACCATTGAGAATATATTCTCTTTCCTGGTTCTTTACCGGTGTACCCGTCTTAATTACCAAATACGGATTTTATCCATCAATTTGTGCATTTCTGATTTACTAACAGGTCTTTCCCTGTGTTTTCCACTGAAGTTCTACCACTTTGGAGATAATTGTGGATTCAAAAAGTATGTCAATACATTTTTTATTACCATTTCCTTGCTAACAGTAACAGTGATGGACATAGACAGATGTCTAGCGATCCACTTTGGAATAAAATACTACATCTACATCAGCAAAAGATTTTTAATATCAGTATGTGTAGTTTGTTGGTTTATTAGTTTCCCGGTCACGTACATGATGTATTTTAATTTCAACGGATATTATGGAATTCATTGTGAGCCGATATTCAGTGCCCCCAAAAACCCCATAACTATCTTAGCAAGTTCTTTTCTATTGCTGTCAATTTTGTCAAATGTGATCATGTTCTTATACTTAGTACGAAAAATTCGTAAAAGGTACCTCTACATCAAGGACAAAAATGGCCAAACTCAATTAACAGGCAAGTACACAGAACAGGGCATTGTGATCAAAAAACTTCTGGCTATAACTGGATGTTTTATATTATGTGCCACCCCCTACATCCTCACAACATTTCCCATACTCGATTACGACACTTCATTCGGGAAGAGAATTCATATCACCACAGCCCTGACTCTCCTTTTCAACAGTGCCATTAACCCGGTGCTGTACGTGTGGAGGTTCCGCGAGGCGAGGTATCAGATGAGACGATCTTTATGCTTCTGGAATCAAAGTTATGTTGAAAATCTGCAGCTAAGGCACAACGAAGAAAATGCATCATACATCATTAACTTGCGGCCGGCGATTCTTCCAGAAAGTGACCAACTTACAAAATCAAATGTTTTCAGTTAAAAAGGCTAACTTAACCAGTTTTGTTAGTTGTTCCTTTGTATTATAATACTTTTATTTTAGAATAAAAAATCATGTGTAAAACATGCCAGTTTTGGTTTCAATAGTTTTTTTTTAGAAAATAAAAAGAAAAAAAAATATATTAAGATGCAATGAAGCTGTACTTTTCGCTCAAAATCCAGTCACAATAATCTATTTCCTTTATTTTCCGGGCTATTTTGCATTAGTTTATATTCTTTATATAAATTTGCGAGCTGCAAAGGGGTACCGGTATATTCTTCAAAGGAAACTACTGATGTTTTTTCAAACCAATTTTAAACTTTTCCATGGCAGCTATAAGCGCCTGAGAAACGTAAAGGATATCATAATTTTATGTAGTTAAAACCAAATTGGACAGTCCATTACTTAACGGGGGCTTTAAACTTGATCCGACAAAAGTTGTCGTATGTTTGACACAGACAGATTTAATAACCCGGATTATAGACTGCTGCTACAAAGTTTTAGGGAATTTTTGTCTCATCCAAGATAATGGTTCTCTTTTCATACATTGAATTGTCTTCGATTTTGTTCTTTTGGCTTGATCAAATCAATGAGCATACAGAGGGTGTGACCAATCAACAGGGGATGCTTTCTCCTCTATGGTATCTGTTCCCACAACTGATGTAAACAGAGGTCCGCGTTTGCTCTGCTTCCAATTTGTTTTTTATACCCCCCGCTTGAAAAGCGGGAGGGTATATAGTAATCGGTAATTCCGTCCGTCTGTACGTCTGTCCGTCCGTCCGTCCGTCTGTCCGTCCGTCCGTCCTTCCGTCTGTCCGTCCGTCCGTCTGTTACGCTTTTGGGTACCCATTTTATCCGCAACTCCTCTCATACCACTGAATGAAATTTGATGAAACTTTCACAGAATCTTTATTACATATTGCCATTGTGCACCTTATTTTACTTTTTGATCCGACACATATTTTGGGTTTTCCGGCCACAGCAAAACATGGACTTTGCCATTATAACTATATGGAGGCGGGGGGTATTATTTAGTGAGCTCATCGCTCACAATACCTCTAGTTTTTTAATGGACTTTTGACCCTGACTGCTGTTTGTTATCTCAATATTTCTTTTGTATTTTTACCATCTCTTTACCGTAAAGTTTCCTTTTATCTCAGAATTTTCTTTTCAACAATATTTCAAATTGATAGAAGTCCCAAAATAAATGTTTGTCCAAAAATCTGATTTACCTATGGTAGCCTAGTCAAGTGGTAGATATATAGAGCGCTAGCTTTGTGACTGGGATGTTCAGTGTTCAATTCTCGAAGTGGCAGCAAACCTACTTGTACACGTAAGAAGTTAACGTAGGTAGTGACTTTTCCTTTGCAAAGCACCCCGCACTGCCCTCTCGAGAATTTTCATTCAAATGGAGACGCCATCACTTGCCAGTAGAGAGGTGCAAATTTTATCCTATACTCGGTACTTACGGCCATTAAATGAGCAGTGAGGGATTGTTTTCGTGCCAGCACCTTCTGCGACACGGGACCTTAGTCTCGTCCGAACGACCGGTCTCCACGTCTAATAGTGGGATCAGAACCCGCAACTAGCGTGTCAAATATAAGATATAAGATAAAATGAGTACCAAAGTCAAAACTTTAGTAATCTTGTAATCTTAATTACGAGTTTCCCAGACAAAAACGAAAGCAAACCAGAAGTCTCTGTCGAGACTGAAGCTCTACTGGTTTGTACTTATAGCAAAGGAAGAGAAAGGTACTTAAGCAGTTGGGAATTGAAACTTTTCAACAGCAATGAATAGAGTAATGATCCTTGATTAAGTCTCTTTATGTTCTTAGTGTAGTCTACTTGCATGCCACATTATATTATAATCAGACTAAAACTGTATTTGCCAATTGAAGTAGCATTTTGAGAGTATTTAACAGAAATTTCTATTTTTAGTAACCGTGGCAACACCGTTCATTGAAGTGAAAAACTGATACATAGAATTATGTACCTTAGTGTAGTCTACTTGTGTGCCAAGTTATATTGAAATCAGACCAAAAATGTAGGGGGAGTAGCATTTTGAAAGAATTTCACAAAAATTTCTATTTTTAGAACCATGTCAACACTGTTCATCGAAATCAAAAACCGATACACAGATTTATGTACCTTAATGTAGTCTACTTGTGTGCCAAGTTATATTGAAATCAGACCAAAACTGTAGGAGGAGTAGCATTTTGAAAGAATTTCAAAGAAATTTCTATTTTTAGTAACCACGGCAACACCGTTCAACGAAATCAAAAACCGATATACAGAATTATGTATCTTAGTGTAGTCTACTTGTGTGCCAAGTTATATTGAATTTCAAATCAGACCAAAACTGTAGGAGGAGTAGCATTTTGAAAGAATTTCACAGAAATTTCTATTTTTAGTAACCACGGCAACACCGTTCATCGAAATCAAAAACCTATATACACAATTATGTATCTTAATGTAGTCTACTTGTAGAGTAGCATTTTGAAAAATTGTTTACAGACAGACAGACGGACAGACAGACAGACAGACTTAAAAAAAACTCTGTATTAAAATAATACAAATCCTCTCTTTTACAGATTTGTTCCACAGGCGCTTGACGTTTTTAACCTTTCTTTTTATAAATAAAAAATTCCCTATACTATTTATTTATAAAAAGAAAGGTTAAAAACGTCAAGCCACTTGACATTTTTAACCTTTCTTTTTATAAATAAAAAATTCCCTATACTATAATATAGTATAAGGAATTTTTTATTTATAAAAAGAAAGGTTAAAAACGTCAAGCGCCTGTGATTTGTTCCTAAAATAATACACCTCGGTAACAAAGTCAAGAACCCGTGACTCAAAAGACAGTGATAATGTGTGCAAGACCAGCATAAAATTGGTAAGCTGGAATATCTTGACTAATAACCATGATAATTAAACTAAAACAAATTTTCTTACGGTACCAAATTTTTTGAAGGACATACTAAATTAAAAACAAGTTTTGAAAAAAAAAAAAAGTCAACTGAAACACTATACCTTATTAAGTAAGTCATAATGACCATATTATAATGTTACAGGAAATTAATCAACATATAATTAACTTCATTAAGGCACTTCTATCGTAGAGTAAGCATGCTAATACATAATATAATATACATTTATTAAATCCGACGGCTGAGGTATGGTAAGATCTGTTAGAAGATACATATTAACTTACTAATATTGTTTCAATATTGAACACAAGTTAATTCAGAGAATTCGTGTCCCCCGCTTAGGGAAAAAGTCGGATCCCCCTGACTGAATTAGTAGAATTATTAAATGTATACATGTAAACTGATGCAAATAAAATACATGTATGTCAATATGCGTATAAAGATTTGATTGCTTATTCTCTATTATGTGTATAGAAGATTCTTTTAATATGGAATATTTATCACACTGTAATAATGATTTTATAACCTCATAAATTTTTCTTTTCACATGCTGAATACTATCATTTAAAAAAAAAGAAAAAAAAAAAAAAAGGATCGTCTAAGATACGATCCTGGGACCTCTTACATGTGAAGCGGGAGACATACCACTAGACCACGGAATCGCTTTAAATAAAGTGAAGTATATGCAGAAGTGAAGTCACATATATGTATATATTCATGCTCGATATTGTCAATTTTTTACACAATCCATGGTGTTTGATTTATTTAGCCTTTATTAAACAGTTCTAATAGATGTAATAAGAACATAAAGTCCGCCGAGAACCTGTTTTATACGCAATAACTCTCCGCATGCCCCTGTTCTAGAAATAGCGACATGTAATATTATAAATACTAATAAAACAAACGGGGTGGGGCACTTTGAGAGGGCTGAGAGAGGTCCTAGGGAGTTTTGGTATAAAATTACATTGCATAAGCTCAAAATCTTCTTGAAATATCGCCCGGAAATGATAGTGTTACACACAAACAGAATGTATAAATTTACGTCCTTGAACTTTGACCTTTTGACCTCAAAATCAATAGGGGTCTTCCCTAGGCCACAGGGAGTTGTTATGTAAAATTTCATTGCAATAGCTCAAATGGTTCTAGAGATATCGTGTGGAAACGAAAGTGTTATAACAGACAGAATTTGCTTATTTATGACCTTGACCTTTGACCTTTTGACCTCAAAATCAATAGGGGTCTTCTTTAGTCCATAGGGAGTTGCTATGCTAAATTTCATTGCAAAAGCTCAATGGGTTCTCGAGATATCGTGTGGAAACGAAAGCGTTACAGACAGACAGAAAGACGGACGGACGGACAAACCCAAATTAATATCCCCCACTTTTCAAGCGGGGGACAATAAGGTGACAACAAGGTCTCTTATTATGCTTATCAGCTTTTATCATTTGAAATACTGGTATTGATATTGTGAAATGCAAATGTATGTGAAACAAAACTAGTAACAAAAGTTTAAAGGATAAAAGTACAACTTTACTTTGGATTCTCAACAGTTACAATATTATATACCTATACCTGGGTATACATGTAGCACTAACTCTGGAGGTTAGCAAATCGTTGTGCAATCAAGCACTCAAAAATCAAATAAAGGAAAGAAAAAAGTTTATATACAATGTACAGTGTAAATGTATTACATTACATTAGGAAGACCAAGTTTGGCTGAATCTGCAATTCCTTAATGCTGCAAGAAGTCCCTATATGGATTTGAATTTTGAAAAATAAAGCATTTTTTTTAAAGTCCATCAAGTTCCAGGAGTTAAAAATGAGCTTTAATTTTCATGTGATTGAAGTTTTCCCGAGTCAAAGAGCTATCACTTTTTTGATATCCGATTATGCCATACCTAAAAATAGAACAGAAAATGGATTTTAGGAACCTCATTGTTCCGCCTTTTATGTATATGAACTACATATGCATTTTCTGCCCCCGATAACAATTTTTCTTATTTATAGGACTGTTAAAGATTAAAGAATGCTTTTAAATCTTTGAGTAGTATCAATTTTTGAACAATTTGGGTCAATCAAGAGTGATTCTGTTCTAGATCGCAATAAAAAATTGTTAGTTTTTTAAGTTAAATGTTACCATTATATGATAAGGAACCACTAAGATTTACAGCCCCAACAATTACAAAACAACTATTGAATATACCGGTACATATGCAGCCAGTTCTTGTGGAAATATATTGTACAACCATATGCTGTATACTTCCTCAAAAACATATTTAATACTTTTTTATTGAATAGTCACAAAAACAATTAAACAAAAACAATTTATAATGTACAAGCTGTATTATTTGCTGTCTGGTAAACAATCTGTTGTCAAATGAACTAAATTAAATGTTCTAAAATGTACAAATTTCAACTGACAAAAAGAGGTTAAAAAATCATGCTATTTATTTACAGCTAGGGCCTAATAAATTTGTCCCAATGACATTTTCTTCTTATATATACATGTATTTTAGAGCTTTTTTTGTCCTTTTGAAGGTTCATTTAAGCAGATCAGCAACTTGTCAATAAAATATATATCTAAAGTCAAATTTTCTCAAGGATACCTTTTTTGCAAATCAATGCAAATTTGAAATGAAAAAATTAAAGATACTGTTTTTTCCTCCATTATAAATTCATTTTGTGCTAGTCATTCGATTTTTTGTCAAGTTAGTTTGTTTTTAAAAAAAATACTTTTATAAGTTATAGGGCCTATATCTTTTCACTGGTTAAGGTCAGACGAGACATTCCTCAAAATCTGTTTTGTATATCTTCGTAATGTATGAAAAATATTCAAAAATTTCATAACATTCTGATTTCTAAACCAGTTTCTGAACGTTTTTTAAAAAATTCAAACTCTTAAACATTTGAAATTGAAAAATTATTTTTTTTCCCCAAAGGATTATATCTTTTCAGAAATGACTGGTTAAGTAACTGAACATTTGACTCTTACTTTAGTTGCTGCTCTATGCACCACTGTATGACGTAACGCCAATCTATTGATATCTCTGTCATAACCTCCACCAATCACAGTAGCTAGTGGAATACCACGTGACACACAAGCATCAATTACAAACCAATCTCTGAGAAAAAGCCCTTAAAAAAGATAAATCATAATCAGACAAACTTCAGTTTGATGTTAAATACCAGATACATGGGTAAATCACAAAGTAACTGATATCATTAAAAGTGTATAGAAATTCAAAATAAAACTTAAATTGCCTTCAAAATTTCAAGAATTTTTATTTAAAAAGGAAGCTGGTTTTATATTAATCATTTGTAATAAGAATTTAAAAAATTATAATATATGAAATTGGGGATCAGACTTAAATCTATGCAACTTTAATTTGCAACTTTAAAACTTATTTGTGAATTCAGTTCAATTCATGTGGTGTAGTACGTGATACCAATTTGTTTATATCTACTTTATATCAATGGAAGCAAAATGATATAATTAAAAAGTTCATGAAGGAATGTTTGATATACAAGTATTTACCTTGAGCTTACCTTCATCTGTTAGATTAAGCTTCCCTAGTTCATCCTTTTCATGTGGATCAACGCCAGCATCGTAGAGAACAAGATCAGGTCTAAAGCTGTCCAGCAGCCAGGGGAGATAAGACTGTACGTGGTCTAAGTAGTCTTTATCCTATATGTAGAACATATAATCACTACACAACACCAAGTTGTATGTAGGTCTGTTGGAGTTTAGTATACACTAAATGTACCACATACACAAGAAGAGTACTTACTGAAATTCCCATCATAAGCCCTATATCTATGTCGCTTGTCTGTTTCGTAAATGGGTAGTTCTTTTCACAGTGCATTGAGAAGGTAAAAATTGCACAACTGTCACTGAAGATGTAAGCAGTTCCGTCACCCTGTACAACATATAGATAAAAGATTTTTAAATTTGAGTAAAATTGATTTTTACTCAAAATGAATCTAAAGCATGGTATATGGCATGGACTTTTTTGATGTTATGACCCTAAAACTAAACATTTTTACAGATAAACATTACTTTCCATGATTTACTTCATCCTTTTAGTCTAAGTGTTGGGAGGAGCAGAAAATCATAGTTTTTTTTTTTGGTTCATTTTTTGTTCAAAATAAAAAAAAAATTCTGAAATTGGTTAAGAACTCATGAGAAAATGTTGAAATTAGTTTATGTTGTTTGGGCACACATTCAACATTCCCAGGGCCATTGGAACAAACAGCATAAGGTCAATCGGGTGATGCAGGTACATTAAAATTTGCTATGGTACTGGAAACAGCTCATTGCTTTCTATTGCTCTATCTTTTGGATTCATGCAATAGTTACTCAGAAAATATGTGTGTTTTCCAATTTACTGCTTGATTATGTGTACATGTTTTGCATATTAAATCCACAATATATCATACTACATGTACTGCAACAATATACAGATTCTGAATAAAGGTTTTAAAACTGATTAAAATTAAAAAAATTTTATTTTATATTTCTCGATCTCTATATTTAAATACAATTCTTGAAAGAACTTTCCTCAACATTGAAAACTCTTTCAAAAGCCAGTAGAATGATGAAAAACAATTTGTAATTATTACATTGACGAGTTAGTCAGTAGTTGTTAATATTATACTTTCATGTAAATAACTTGAATCTGATTCGTCGAGAAAAATTTGATAAAAAACACTACTACCCGCTGAATAATGAAGCCACGCCCTCCTCCGTAGCAACAGTCAACATTGCTTGGCGACGGGTGGTATTACAAAAAATAGCGACTGCACGGAATTTATGCGCGCACGGTTCACTGTAATATGTATTTTTATAAAACATTCAATATAATATGATAAATATTACATGTATTTGGATGTAACATTGAAAATTTTCACCCCTCTGTTGACAATGGTTTTCTTGGGGTGCAAATTTTCAATGTTACACTCAACTACATGCAATATTTATATAATAATATCCTCTTAAGGACTATGCTAGTGGAGTAAGCATATTTGATGTCAAATCTTATTATCCCATAGGTGTATACATGTACATGTAATTAAGATCAGAGTAACTGCTCCAAAAATAGAATGCTGTGATGTACACCCTAATAGACAAAACCTAATAACATTTGATTTCATAATAAAATGTTATGGAATACTAGGAATTATTGGTAAACTTGCTTAAGAAAAAAATAATATCTCCATATTTTTTTCTTTATATCACCATGATCACTTTGCCTAAATATTCCCAATACAAACCTGGTGAACATCCAAGTCCACAATCAAGACTTTCTGTGCTACACACTCATTAAACAATGCAGCAGCCGTCACAGCCATATCATTCAGAAGGCAGTACCCCGCCCCGTGACTGGGGAAGGCGTGGTGGGTACCCCCTCCTGTACTGCATGCTATCCCATGCTCCATTGCAATTCGACCAGCTAATAGTGTTCCTCCTATTTTAAAGCAATTATCAAAAGTGAGAGTAAACACCATGTAAGAAATCAAAGTGTAATTTCTAACTGATAGTTAAACACTGAGTAAACACTAAACAACATTTAATTTTTCCTGCAAAAAACATTTTTATGCCACTTATGAATATGGTCGAGGCATACAGTATTTGACATATCCATCTTCATCCCTCTGTCCTTTAGCATTTGCCAGCCATTTGGACAATTTTTAAAAAAAATTCTCAATATTTTTATCAGCTTTATATGCATGACACCTACTGTAAAATTACATATTTTCATGGGGTCAAATTTTCGTGGTTTGAGGAAAATTTCTTGGTTCATGGGGATTTGAAGTTCAGTGTTCTTCAATTTTATTTACTTTGACCTTTCCTTTGACCATGACCTTACTTTTTCGTAAATTAGAGTTTAACTTAATTTCAAAGAAACTATCAAATTAAGATCAATCATTTTTTAAAAACTTCATATTCTTAAACATATTGATTGAATTTGTTCAACTGCATCAACATTTTCTGACCCCCATCTCTTCCTTGACCTTGACTTAACTCTTCTTAAAACAGTATCAAGTTCACTTTCAAAGAAACTGACAACATATTTTACTCAAACATAATGTGCTGATACAACTGTACATAATTTTTGAGAGCTATTCAATTTCATCAACAAATTTGACCTTGACATTTTCTTTGACCTTGACTATAAATTTATGTCTAACTCAGTTTCAAAGAAACAAATTAAGATATTGCCATCAAATTTGATAAGTCTATATTCCTAATGAGGAGTGCCATTCAATATTTGACCTTGACCTCTTTTGATTTCACTTTTCTCAAAGTATCAAAAAAACAAAGCAAGCTTTTTATTTAACTTTATATGCTGATACATATTTAAGAGAGCTTTTCAACTTCACCAGCATTTTTACCTTGAACTCACTTTTCTCAAAGGACAAGGTAGGGTAACGGCCATATCTGGCCCCTTATTTGATGTAAAAATCAGAACACTGCTAAAATTGTGATAGTTTGTATTTAAGAACTTAAAATGATGCTTGCTTTGAAACCAGTACTAATTCAGATTCAAAGCTTACATGGAAGCCAGTGAGTCTAGAGGGAAGAGATCAAAGAAAGACATTTTCCTAAATTTCCTCAACTCTGGTAGAATTTCATCATATTTGAGATACTTTTCTCTTCGGAAAACATAGAGCACAAGCTTGCCTATCTGAGATTTTTACACATAAACTGCATCTGATACTAGTTGAAAAAATATATAAATTTGGTAGATAGGCAAGCGTGTGCTCTATGTTTCTTGAAACAAAATATGCTGTAAAATCAATGAAAATTTGCATATAAATGATAAAATTCAAAATTGACCAATTTTTTCACCCCTCTGTGACTTCGTATTTCAAAACTTAGAACCAATACTCATTTTGTGGCAGGGATGACAACAGGTTTCTATGAATAAACTATTGCATCATTCTGAAAGACACCCAAAATCAGGGGCCAAAAATTGGTCTTACCCTATCTTGTCCTTTGTACTTATACATAGCTTAGTTTCTAAGAAATTATTCAAGACATTTTTTTTTAAATGAAACCAAATTATACAAACCTGTCTCTAATCTGCATCTTGATACAATTCCCTCACTCCATTTAAATCCAGTGAGTCTCTGCTCTTCAACAGTGGTTTTTCCAGTAAGGAACCGGTCAATATAGTCAGGAGTATGCACAAGTTTTAGCAAATCTGGGTCTATAGCAGTTGGTTTTAAGATTTGTTTCATTGATATCACATTATCAGTTCTGAGATATCGTAAAACTCCATGGAATTTTCTCATTGCAAATCTATGTTTAAAAGGAAAATCACACACATATCCATCATGATGTATGATAGGAAGACCATGAATTTCCAGTCTTTTGACCTAAAAGAAAAAGTTTGTAGAGAATATATCTCTAGTACCTTGTCATATCAAAATCTGAAAATTATAATTAGATATATATTGTTTTTCTTAGTTATTAATCTATATTAATAAGATTTTTTCAGGAAAGTGCAGTTGTTTGAGCAATGGATAAGATTTGGATTAATTGTATATATTCTAATTGTAATGCATGTTGAAATAGGAGAATAAATTTCTAGAAATATTATAACTGCTAAGTTTATACTCACTTTTTGAAGAGTTTCCCTATTGTGTGAGTGCTTTTTGCTTAAATCAAGTGAACATGACCTCTTTTGATCAAATGAATTGAATTTAATTTTTCTGCAACAATTCAGTTTCCTTATATCTGACACAGTTATTACATTTCTCATCTTCATCACTTCCTCCCATCAGCCAAAAGTTTCTGTAAAACAGTGTATATCAGTCAGGGGTGTGATTGAAATCCTTCATTTTTAAAAATGATGATTTTCAGTCATTAAATTGATTTTTAATAATGATGGAAATTCATCTTTTTTTTAGTAAAATGATTCATTTCTATTTTGAAATTTATTTTAGAAATAGAGTTATCTCTGATATTAAAAATGACTGTTTTTCATCATTTTTTATCAAATTGTTAGGTCTGGGCGCACTTAATTATCTCATTAGTTTTACGGGGTGCACTAAATTATTTTGGTTTCAATTACTTGTCAGATGTTTCTCTACACAAGGGTCTATGGCAGGATAGTGTACTATATCTAATTACTGTAGTAAATGGGATAAAATTGATAGAATGGAAATATGATGAAAAAACGTCATATTTACAAAAATCAGAAAATTGTGTACATTATATACTTAGAAGAAATGACCATTATCCACCATTTTTAAAAATGATGGATTTCAGTCACACCCCTGACTGTATATAATAATTATAACAAGCATTCTGAGAGTAGTGCATGGGTAATGATAAGCCCCTACCAAAAGTGTAATCAGGTTCCCATTAATCATAGGGTAATCAGAGATTACAGAGCTCACCTCAAAGAATGTTGTCTTTAAGCAAGGCAAAACTAAATAATCACTAGTACATGTATATCCCTATAGTTGCAACATTTATGCAGTTTTGAGCTAACAGGGCTTGCAGTTATTTGGGAATTAATGGCTAAGACTTTAAACATACATTGTATCTCTTATAATTTCGTTAGAATGAAACTGATCAAAAAAATTTAAACTTGGTCACTCATCTGAAAATGCAAGAGAGATCCATCACACAAAGCAAGCCTGGTACATGTGCACCCTCGTATCATCCATACTAGTTTGGTTTACGTAGGGCAAATTAAATAGTTATTATAAAATAAACCTGCTCCAAAATCTTAAAACTGGTCACTCATCTGGAAAATGTAGTTACACATGTAAAATCAGTATCCATGAAAGTTTGGTCAAGGTAGGGCAAAAAGTTCCTTCTCTAACCTGCTCCAAACCAAAAATTTTAACTTGGCCACTAATCTGAAGAATGTATATATGTCAGATCCAACATCCAAAACAAACCCCACTTGCAGTGTGCATTAATCCTTAGATATACCATCCTTGCAAGTTTGGTCAATATAGACCTGACCTCATAGTTACTTGGAAATGGAAAAAGAAAATTTTAAACTGCCCCCAAAAATTTTAAACTCCAGCACCTCCAAAAACATTAACCTGGTCATTCTTTAGCTGAATTTGCAGCATCTGAATTCTTCACTAGTAAATATAAGTTAACATATGAGAAGCATCTTCCATTCTCCAATAAAATAAAATGCAGGTCATAAAAGTACTTCTCTATACCAAAAACTTTAACAAGGGATGTTGAGACCTAGGTTTATATAATAATATCCCATAAGCTCCCCCAAGTGCAATTTGAAGCAATCCTGCCAATATCAAGCTTTATATGTTATGTCTAAAATCTTGACATGAGCCAATTGCAGAGATGTCTGAGAGAGGAAAGAATGGCAACTCTGCATAGGAGATTGGGCATCTGTCTGTCTGTCAACTGTATGACAATCAGACAGGTTTGACTGTCTCTGGCCAGGCAGTTCAGTATAGAGCACCTATAAATTTGTAATACATGAGGACTGGTCACTAGTGGACAGATAATTCTAACTTCAGTCGGTAGAGCACCTAACTAGTAATTCAGAGGCTCAGGTTCTTATCCTGGACTGGTCAGTCACATTTCTCCCGGCTGCTTACAGTAGATGAGTAGGGCCTATATACTTATCAGTTATGATTTTTTTTTAATCTTGATTAAGTCCATTCTTTTTTCCCCCAAATTATTTGTTAATTGTTCCACATGCATAAAGGCCTAAAATAAAATATGAATGATGGGATATTAGGAGGCGAAAATTTGTATTAACACCTTCTCCCAATCTTACCTGGTCTTTTGAACTGTTGAACACTGCCTGCCCAAATGTGAACTGGACTTGACTGTCAACACTGCATGCTATGAGTCTGAAAACTAATGTTACATAAATGTGGTATAAAATCAATTGCAAACTATTACAATGATCATGTATAATACTGTGTTAGTATGACACGGTAGAATTGTGAAGATATACCTTGTTTAAAAACATAAACAACACAGGACTGACGTCTGTATTTTGTTTACCATCAAAAAGTTAAATAAACCGTACGTTGGTTCTTTCCGCTTAAATTATATCTAGAAACTGGCCAGAGGGTACCTAAATTATCATTTGAATCAAGCAAAAAATAATTAAGCACATAGAAAGTTTTTGCTATATAAGCATTTCTCATTTATTTCATTTTTATAGTGTTGCACTTTGCTTATCTCGAATAAATTTTGCTCGACTTACTCAAAATTAAAAATGGACGCAAAATTGGAGAAAAGTCCAATAATGAACAAAAAATAGCGACCAAACTGTCATTCAGAAGCATATGATATTTATAAAAATGATAAAAGCAAGAGTGTTCTTGGATAATTTTCATGGATAAATCTGAAGAGTAAGTTTTGAAACTTTTAGGGGTTTAATTTCACTGTTGATGTTTGACATGAGAGGGACAGAAATGTCTTCTGCTCATTAAACTTACAAAGTGACGCGGAAAATCATTTCAAGGTTTAGACTTATCTTTGAGCTGGTAAATGCATCTGTGTTTGTGGTATAAAAATATTATTCTTATAAAGATATTTGGTTATTTTAACAGTTTATTTGGCATACATGCTATCCTGAGTAACCTCCTTACACCTCAGCCAATGAAATTGCTGGCATTGAACACACCTCTTAACAGCTGCAGCAATTCCGCTAATTACATATAACTGTTTGTTCAACAAATAATACGTTGGATTCAACCCCAAATCCCCATTTCTTCAGCCCACAAAAAGTGAATAATTTATTTGTATCAAAAGTTAATGATAGTGTAAAATAACACATTTAAATTAAAGTATTAATGCATTTCATCCATAAAAGTCTTGTGTTTTTTAGCTCACCTGAGCCAAAGGCTCAAGTGAGCTTTTCTGATCAAAATTTGTCTGTCATTGTCGTCGTCATTTTCGTCATCGTCGTCGTTGTTGTAAATTTTCACATTTTCATCTTCTTCTTAAGAACCACTGGGCCAATTTCAACCAAACTTGCTACAAAGTATCCTTGGGTAAAGGGGATTCAAGTTTGTTCAAATGAAGGCCATGCCCTTTTCCAAGGGGAGATAATTATGAATTAGAGAAAAACTAATGGCATTTTTAAAAAAACTTCTCAAGAACCACTGGCCCAGGAAAGATGAAACTCACGTGGAATAATTCTCAGGTAGTGTAGATTCAAGTTTGTTCAAATCATGACCCCCTGGGGTAGGGTGGGGGCAAAATGGCTGATCAAAGTTTTACATAGAAGTATATAGGAAAAATCTTTAAAAATCCTCTTCTCAAGAACCGCTGGGCCAGGATTGATGAAACTCATGTGGAATCATCCTCAGGTAATGTAGATTCAATTTTGTTCAAACCATGACCCCCGGGGTAGGGTGGGGGCAAAATGGCCGATCAAAGTTTTACATACAAATATATAGGAAAAATCTTTTAAAATCTTCTTCTCAAGAACCATTGAGACAGGAAAGATAAAACTCAGGTGAAACCATCCTCAGGTAGTGTAGATTCAAATTTGTTCAAATCATGACCCCCGTGGCTAGGGTGGGGCCATAATGGCTGAACAAAGTTTTACATAGGAATATATAGGAAAAATTTTTAAAAATCTTCTTCTCAAGAACCACTGGGCCAAGAAAGATGAAACTCAAGTGGAATCATCCTCAGGTAGTGTAGATTCAAATTTGTTCAAATCATGACCCCCGGGGGTAGGTTGGGGTCAAAATGGCCGATCAAAATTTTACATAGGAGTATATAGGAAAAATCATCTTCTTAAGATCCAATGAGACAGGAAAGATGAAACTCATTTGAAATGATCCTCAGGTAGTGTAGATTCAAATTTGTTCAAATTATGACCCCCGGGGCTAGGGTGGGGCTAAAATGGCCGACCAAAGTTTTACATAGGAATATATAGGGAAACCTTTTAAAATCTTCTTTTCAAGTACTTCAAAGCCATGATTAGTGATATTTATATGGAATCATCCTCTGGTAGTGTAGCTTCTAGTTTGTTCAAATCATGACCCTATGGGGGGATAAAATTCAAGCTCCCCCCCCCCAACCTCAGTAAACTTTCAGTTCTGATCTGATATGTTCATTTTCCTAGCCAATGTGCTTAGGTGAGTGCTGTGGCCCCTGAGCCTTTTGGTTTTTTTTTTCATGTTTTTTTTTTTTTTTTTAAATTCACAGATCATGTTATTAAAGTTAGTCCTTCATGATGGAAAGTATGTACTCCATAAAAGAGTTCTACATTGTCATCAAGCTTTCCTGCACTTACTTCAGCATCACAAAGTCAACAACACATTAACCAATGCAGGTAAGAATTCTCTGGTCGCAAAACACAATATTGTCTCCTTGCTTGACTCCATCATAATATTCATCATAACAGCTTGACTTAGAAAGAGGTTGAATCTTGTTTGTCCAAATGCTGATCTAATGTCAATCATATATCTATAGTCCTCCCAACACCCTACTCTCGATTTTCTATTGTTATTGCTCATTCTATTGAATGGAATCGCTTCATACTTTACGTCTTTAGTCGTGTCAGTCAGTTTTCTGCTCAGATATTCGTTCAACATACATAAATATGATAACAATGTTTTCAGTTTTGCCAAATTAAGGTCTTTTGATTTTCAAGTGCTGAATGTTTCAGATAGCAATTTTTTTTAATTAACATTCAAACTTCTTGACCTTTTTTGGGTACTAATATAATTGACCTCTTGACCATGTTGAAATTGCACTTTGACCCACTTTTGCTAAATTTTACCAAACTTTATCCTTTGCCACAACTTTTGAACAGCTGGTGCCAGGGCTTTTATATTTCTAATCTGGATTCTTTGTTATGCAATCTTATTCTGAGAGTCATAGATTTTGACCTTGACCTTTGAGGTTGACTTATTTTTGAAGAAATTTAACCTTTACCATAACTTTTATTGGTTGGTGCTAGGACTGTCTTATTTCACAGGTTGTGACACCTTTCTTTGGGTTAGATTATTGCAGCTAGGTTAGATTAGGTACTACCATAATTTTTTATCTCTTTACCTTGCATTTCTCTTGCATATGAGAACCTTACCTATACCATAAAATGCCATCAGTGTTTTACAAACACTTATTATTTATACCAACATCTTGAATAACTCCATGAATGTATCATTACTGCTTAAAATCATTTCGAATTATTTGCAAATTGATATTAATTCATTTAATTGCAACAGTCAAAAATATTTTAAGATATCAAAACTATAACTCATTGTGTGTACATGTAATTTGTATGGATAAAGTGTACATTAATATACCTTATATGCTACAGGTTATAGGAAATGGTATTCTTCCTCACTCTTTCCAAGTCAGAAGTTACTGGATCTAGTCAAACCATGTGTCTCCAGTGAAAGAATTCGATGGTCTAGCCACAAAAAAAGCTGTGATAATGCTCAATTTCAAAAACCAGGCATGTACCGAAAAATTTAGGTCACTATTGCTTCATAAAAGTAAAAATCAAGATTATGAAATAGTTCAAGACCAAACTTTTTACAGCTGCAATTGATTACTTACAGTTTTCAATTTCAGTGTTCGATCAATTTTTCTTTTCATCTCACTTCAAGCAATCTAATTAGTAATTTAAATTAGATCCTTTGATCTGCTCACTTGATTCCAACACTAAGGATCTAACAAAGGGGTGTTAAATAATGGTCCTCCTTAATTGGTCATCCTTAGCAGGACTTTTGTATATGATCATATATGTGAGTGAGTCAAAAGGTTTATATATCATGTATATTAGATAGCATCTCAAGCAGTTTAGAAAAGCAAATGCACAACTGTATAAAGACTGTAGCTGATTTCTTTTAAGGGCCTGTAATACGGTATTGTTTATTCTATGTTTGCAGATTGTGAACTACTAGATCAAGTACAGGACTGGTAAGTGCATATCACACTGCAGTATGTATAATATAACATTGAACATTATTATGACTTAATTCCTCAAAATCTGAGATATTTATCTGTTTAATTGTCATTAATATCATTATATCCTGCTCATATAGTGGCAATTTCTTGATTTTTAATTTTGCTGTACATCTTTATCTTTTACACGAAGAGTACAGGTCTAATATACAGTTTGATATTCAGTTCTGGGGCCTGTTTTACAAAAGAACTTACGACTAAAGTTCAAAATTTAATTTCGCTTTCATTATTTCAGAATTTTTAACATTAAATGTTTGCATACCCCTGGTGTGTTTAGGATATAAGCATGCCCATAATGTTATGAAAATATTGATAAAGTTGTGGTATTATATACTCAGATGACCATTACAAGGTCTGTGGGATCCTTCTAATCTTCAGTATTCCGAGTTCATCGTGGTTCTATGAACTTTTAATCTCTACCCTGTACAATTCTAAGTAACATATATATGTTGATACATATTGCATACACCCAAAAATGGCACCTCCTTCATTTTTACAAGCTTTGGATTCTTATATTTTGCATGATTAAGCTTCTACATCTTATATACAGGCAGCTCATAACAAAGAGATTTCAACACGACAGTAAACCACCTAAACCTAAGGAGGGCTTGTATTTATTCAAAAGAGAACCCAATTATGGTAAGTGCTCATCCTCCAGTCTTTTCCCTTCTGAAGCATGAATAGTCCTTTTTGAAAATTAAAAAAAAAAAACATTTGTTTTCATTTATTACAAGATATACCCAAAAACTTTAAATTAAAGATTGAAAAAAACATGTAAACTTAAAATCTTTTGTTCAGGAAGGAATTAGATTTTGGTCATTATAAAGTTAAATAGCTTTTTTATACTTTGTACATTGTAAATTCCTAAACTTCAAGAAAATTTTTTCTTGAACCTTCAAAATCTCTTTTTAGAAAAGATGGAAAATACCATATTATATGAGGAAGAGCTTCACAGGGAATATGGTTTGACTCCAAAGTATGTGAATTCATTACTTATTACAAAAATTAGATAATGTTTATGTCATTTTACATCATAAAAATGCCCAATTATTTTGTTTTTAACTGACAGTTTTAAATATTTTGTTTTAGGGATGTTGAAGGTTTACCTCGAGAGAAAATGAGAAGTGGCTGGTCCTTAGCCCAGACAGAGGACATAAAATACGGATACAGAAAGCATCTAGTCCACTCTGTGTAGTTCATTTATACTATTTTTTCAGTCTTTTCAAAGGGACCAAAAATATTGTATAAAAATCTATAGATACATTAAATTTTAAAATGTGTATCATGGAAGATCACTTTGTATTAATTTATTTTTCATGCTGCTCTATAATATTATCAGTGTGATTTAATATGTAATCTTTGGCAACATGGTTATAACTATCTGTTATTTTTTCTTTCAGGGCGTTAAAAAAATGGGGTTCAGAAGAGGCCATAAAATTGCGGAGACTTATTATAAAAAGGGAAATGGACAGAAAAGGTTTGGATGCTTGTTTTTCAGTTACATTGTAATAGTGAGAATATAGATTTCAAATGTGTAGAGACCTGTGTCAAATTTTGTGCAGAATTTACACAGGGCTATAAATGCAAATGACAAGAAATCTTTACAAAAAGGTCCTTTTCTTTTGCAGAGGAATGTGCAAATGAGCAAAAGGTAACAATTTTTCAACATGCAAATAGTGGGAGATCCCAAATGACTTATTGTACTACCTGTAAGAAGTCTGGATAGTTCAGTATTCATTTCAGAATTTAACATTACCACTACTTTGTAAAATAAATTGTGCATTGTTAAACCCCATTTGAATGATTTTATTTTTAGTATATTTATCCTTTGAATTTCAGAGTTATGATATTTTTACCTTTGGATACAAGGACAGACAAGGTCGAGTTATTTCTATTGCTCTGGTTGTGTAAGTATTACAATTATGAACAAAGGCTTTAAAATCAGCTAACTTGTCTATAAATGTATGCTCCAAGTTCAATTAACTCAAAAATTGAGCACAACTAAATTTGAAGTGTAGATAAAAAAATTAAATATTTTTTTGATTCACATGTTTGATTATTGATTAGATAATGATTAACGTTTAATAATTTTTCTTTATGCAACTTGTACGAGTCTCAGTTGTTAAATGTGTGTTCATTTTAGGAATTTAACAGTATGCTTGATGAAGATGGTTGTTTATGCTGTTTCCATGTCTCCAAGTATGCTGGCAGAGTTTCTTCACTCCTTGTTAGACACTGCTAATCAAGTAAGATATACTATAGGTTGTATATTCTAATATTGGCTTCTGATCACATGTATCTAACATGAATTAAACAGTTTGTATTTCTACTCATTCATGAGTTTATTTGGACCAAATGCAATATATATGTAGCTGAATTGCCATCAGCTGATTTCATTTACACTGTGTAAAAATGTCATTGTATAAACCTCTACTGTACATGTATGTTTGTTTGCATTTCCACTTCTTATTCTATATTAGCATTTCCACTTCTTATTTTGTATTAAAAGATGGGAATAAAATATAATGTTCTTACAATTTTGTCAATATCTGATTAAACTTCATCCCATATACATTGTAGTTGCATGTTATGTGTATCAATTAATTTACTTGCTCTTGGTACACTGCAGTACATAAGAGATCATCAGGATTTGCGGGTGCGTAAGTAATTTTCTGTCCGTCTGTCTGTCTGTCTGTCTGTCTGTCCGTCTGCAGTATTTTTTTAAAAGTTCAAATTTGGTATGGTAGTTCAGTGGCAAATATATTTGGATGCTAAGTTTGGTTCTCTATGTCTTCTGGTTTGGATTGGTGGGGTGATTCCTTAATCAACTTTTTTTTGGTTGTCCAATCATATTTGGTATGGTGCATGTTATGTGTATCAATGAATTTAACTTTATATAAGAATGCATTGGCAAAGAGAGATACACTTGTAAACTGAATGCTGGCTATGAGTCCCTTGGGATTAAGCTTTCCTCCTGAGAAAATCAATCATTTTGTTTTTCTGCAAATGAAGTTTGTTTTGAAGTTAAGTCAATTTGGAATGCTATGAACACTCGGAAATGTGGATTTAGATATAAAATTTTTATAATTTTTTTTTGTTTCATAGTTATGATTTCATCAAATTCTAAAAACAAGAAATAGATTAAAGAAGAGTTTTTGATTTACATTTTATGTTAATTAATTTTTAAGGTAGTTGTATAAAAACACATTAATACTGAAAAAGTTCTCTCTCCTTTTGCAGTGGATTTTCTTTTCTTCTTTGTTTTTTATCTGCAACTGCTGTTTGTTTGAAGTTAAGGTCAAGCCTTCATGATATTTGCATTCATTGAAGCCTGGCATTCTATATAACACAAGCTTCATAATTGTTTAAATATACATTCAGTGTTAAGTTGTTCTTTACTGCCTAATGTAAATACAAGGATATTATTTTCAGGTTTTTGAATATTCAGGAATTATCTTGAAATTTTAAAAATACAGTTGCTGTTGCTTATTCTTCGTCCTTTTAATTCTACCCCATGGCGGGGCCCTTGCTGACTGGTCAGTTTTCTAGTTCATTTTGTTTTTCTATTGTAAGGTATGGCTATGCCAGTTTTCAGAACATCACCTCTCTCTGCAGTGGATTTTCCTTCTTTGTTTTTGGATTTTTACTCTCGTCCATCATGAATTTCTATTTTTTTCTTGGAGCAGAAACCTCACTATCACTTGTAAGTTATATATCTTTTTTTTTACTGAGGAAAATAAATTACCGAACTTTAGGACACACAATTCACAAGTAACTTAAGCGAGTAACAAAGCTTTTTATTACGAAAACATGCTTTTACATAAACATGTATGTTGTTTTAGTCAATGTAATAAAAAGAATATGATTAAATCAATTAGGAGCTATTTCAATCGTTTGTATAAGATGACACTATTTGATTTTTTCCAGATTCATTTAGGAGTCATGTATCTAACATTCCTTATGGAGGGATGTAAGTGACAATATTGCAAAATCTAATAATTTCCAGTTAAAATTAATTATTTTTCTAAACATATTCATTCTTGTGAAAAAATAGAGCCAAATAGAATTAAATGAGTTTGAAAAATATTTAATTAAATAAGATTAGAACTTAGTTTTTTTTTATCACAGTTTCTCTATTCTTTGCTACAAGAGAATTGAAACGAAAAGCAAAAGAAAGGAACATGAAGTTATTTCCATATAGTAAGTATTGTACAGCATGACTTTTGCATTCAGTGATAAATTTGGTCTAGCTGTTGCATAGTATTTTTCTGTTTATATCTTTTAAAAAATAATTTTAGCAGTCAGCATTAAATCTAGAAAAATAAATAATTTAATGTTTGGTTTAAATGATATTTGCATTGCATTTTAATTGATGAGCTTTTAATCAGATATTTCAAAATCAGTGCATGGATTGATGATGTCTTTGTATCAGTGTCACTAATATTTAGCATTTCTTATACATGTAGCTCCATTGAAGGTGACCTATTTATTGAAAAATCTGAGTTTTATGCTGTAGGATGAACTGTTTCAATTAAATATCCCTACTAGCATGAATCTAAACTATGATCTTGATATTAAAGAACCTTAGTGTTGATTGTTTTAAGTTACTTTTTCTCTGTTTAGGATTGCTCTTTCATCATCTATTGATTTTAGAGAGTTATTACAACAGTATATGATTTTTTTTGCAGTCAGACGCGGCTTTGACCCTAATGTAGTGGTTGTGTTTATGGAGGACATGGCAGCAGTATGTGGGGTCCTGATAGCATCTGCTGGGATGACACTCTCACATTTGTATGCTCAGCCATTCTGGGACACGGCAGCATCTGGCTGTGTGTCCGGACTGATGGGAATGGTGGCTGCCTACCTGATCAAATCCAACATCCCAGCTCTGGTTGGAAAGTAAGTGCTTGAGATTGTTTATCAAGAAAATGGTTTTAAGGCTCACCTGAGCAGAGTATCCAGCATCTGTATTTGTAAACTTTTTACTGTTTTCATTATCGCTTAGGAGTGAAACGGTTCACTGCGGTATCAATTCACCATGGTATTTTTTCTCAGTTCGATACACGGTACAAAATCTCTATTTTCGGTTCGTTTTTTGGTCTGGATCGTCATTCAGTCGGTTTTGGCATAAGGTATTAACATGCTTCTCAGTATAATATTAGTCGGGTTTGGCATTTTTAAGGTATTAACATGCTTGTCAAGTATAATATTAACTCTTGTTAAAAAACGTAAATTTTTTTTAAGTGGTTTTTGTTTAAAAAAATCTGTCCCACTTAACTCTTTGAGTTTGTAAAATATTTTACATGTATATGTACATGTACAGTCAAATCGATATAAATTGGATTTATTCTTCGCACTTTTTCCGATCCATTTTGCACATCAGTTATTTGACTAAATTAAGTAAAAGGAAGCATAAAACATGTAAAACAACAGTTGAAATTGCTTCGATGTTCTCCAAATATCAAAAAACATGTTTTGTACCGTAAAACACTGACAGGGGATTACGGTCATTTATCGTAGGAAACCCTAAATTTTACAAGTGCAATAACATTTCGTTTTAACCATGAAGAAATATTTAAAAATATACATCCGAGGCGTACCGATTTTAGTTTCACCCCTAATCACTGATCAGTTTTTTGTGGACTTACAGTTTGTAAAATATTTTTTCATCAAATCAATTAAATTGATTTCCACATTTATCCTTGGGTAAAGGAAATTTTTTTTCCTTCTATCAAAATGTATTGTATTGAAAATAACTCAAAGTTAGAGGCATGCACCCTCATTCAATTTGACCTAAAGAAAAACAGAAAATATTTTTCTCAATAATGACAATGCTAAGATCACTAAAACAGTTGATTCTTATAAATCAGATTATATGCAAATATCTTCTTGTACCTAAGATTAAAGTTTGTTCAAATCTTATATCTCATGAGATTGGAATGAGGTAGTAATTTTTGGATTTTAAAATTCAATGGAATTATGGGAACATAAAGTAGGCCTTTCAACTGCCGCTAGGGGTCGGTTTTATGAACGATAACTCACTGTTGAAACATGTTGAGAGTAGGCTCGGGGTATCTAACTGTTTACACGCAAGGCAGTTTTTAGCATTTCCTAAGTGTTTCTTTGCTCTCAGTAGAATCCAGTGGTTTTAGAATGTAGCACCAATGTTCAACTTATTTACTGTATAGTTGCGGACACCAATTCACTTCATATAATTAAAAGTTTTAATTAAAATAAAAAGTGAAATCTACCCTCCTTCTAAGTTCTAACCTAATTAAATTTTTATACTCGGTCGTTCCCCTTCGTGCTTAGTAACACAAGTAAGATGATCAATTGCTGCATTTACTTGTAAAAATATATATATTTATATAGGAAGTGAAAAAGCGCGAAAACAAAAAACATGGCATGAAATTTTCTTCTTCATAATAATCGTCAAAGAGAGTTAAAAATATTGAATATAGTCTGTTCCCCATCTATTTGACCCTGTTATTTCAGGTAGAGTGAAGGCATTCTCTTTCTCATGGTCAACACTTTTGTGTACAAAACAATGTAAGGAACCCCTTTGTGTACATAACAATACCAATGCTGAAGCAGCCTATATGTCATTCCTATAAACGAAAACTCATAAAATATAAATCGGCACTTATAGTTGGTCATTTTTCACACCTGAGTTACGTGTCCTTAAAACTCAACATCGGAAAAGTCAATTATAAATAATCAAACTTTTTTATGATGTAATTAAATGTATGCATAAGTTATTATCTTTTTAGCTCACCTGAGCCGAAGGCTCAAGTGAGCTTTTCTGATCACATTTTGTCCGGCGTCCGTCTGTCCGTCTGTCTGTCTGTCCGTAAACTTCTTCTCAAGAACCGCTGGGCCAATTTCAAGCAAACTTGCCACAAAGCATCCTTGGGTAAAGGGGATTCAAGTTTGTTCAAATGAAGGGCCACGCCCTTTTCCAAGGGGAGATAATTATGAATTAGAGAAAAATTAATGGCATTTTTAAAAAATCTTCTTCTCAAGAACCACTGGGCCAGGAAAGATGAAACTCATGTGGAATCATCCTCAGGTAGTGTAGATTCAAGTTTGTTCAAATCATGACCCCCGGGGCTAGGGTGGGGCCAAAATGGCCGACCCAAGTTTTACATAGGAATATATAGGAAAAATCTTTAAAAGTCTTCTTCTCAAGAACCACTGGGCCAGGAAAGATGAAACTCATGTGGAATCATCCTCAGGTAGTGTAGATTCAAGTTTTTTCAAATCATGACCCCCGGGGCTAGGGTGGGGCCAAAATGACCCACCCAAGTTTTACATAGGAATATATAGGAAATATCTTAAAAAATCTTCTTCTCCACAACCACTGGGCCAGGAAAGATGAAACTCACGTGGAATCATCTTCAGGTAGTGTAGATTCAAGTTTGTTCAAATCATGACCCCCGGGGCTAGGGTGGGGCCAAAATGGCCGACCCAAGTTTTACATAGGAATATATAGGAAAAATCTTTAAAAATCTTCTTCTCAAGAACCACTGGGCCAGGAAAGATGAAACTCATGTGGAATCATCCTCAGGTAGTGTAGATTCAAGTTTGTTCAAATCATGTTCCCCGGGGCTAGGGTGGGGCCAAAATGGCCCACCCAAGTTTTACATAGGAATATATAGGAAAAATCTTTAAAAGTCTTCTTCTCAAGAACCACTGGGCCAGGAAAGATGAAACTCATGTGGAATCATCCTCAGGTAGTGTAGATTCAAGTTTGTTCAAATCATGACCCCCGGGGCTAGGGTGGGGCCAAAATGGCCGACCCAAGTTTTACATAGGGATCTATAGGGAAACCTTTTAAAATCATCTTTTCAAGTACTTCAAAGCTATGATTAGTGATATTAA